AAAATTTAATTTTAGTTGGAAGACTTCAAAAATACAATCAAACACTGGAACATCAAAATAAGTAAGCGCAGAAAGCGTTATGGCGACATTGCAGTGCTAAGAAGTTTGATGAAATTGGGCTTGTTCGTTTTTAAATGTAGGGTTTTATAAACTAACGTTTTGGAAATAATTTACAATTTGTTGTACATTTGGTATAAGGGTCAACCTGTAATCTGTGTGCACTCTACATTATTTTCATATTGAAAATTTGGTCAAAAATATAAGCGTAAATTATTAAACCATTATTTTGTGTTATACAGCACTTAAATTTTAACATTGCAACAAATTTAAAAAAATCAAAAAATATTAACGGCATTAATTTAAAAAAATTATGCATAAATGAAATGTTTCACTAAATTCGCAAGACAGTTGTTATATCTGCCGAGATGGTCGGAATAACGCTATATAATAATTTATTGCTATATTTGTTATCTTCGCTATTTGTTGAAGTAGGAGTCGGATATTTCGACTCCTCTTTAAATTTCAACTTTGACTCCGGTAAAAACTTCAAACTAAAAATTTTGAAAAAACTTGACCGCATAGTAAAAAATTAACACAATGACAACTTTTCTGGAATTTCACTCAAGAGCAACTTAAAGTGCAAATGCCACAAACCACAAACAGGATAAACATCTTTGGCAGCATCAATGTCATCAACAACAACATCAACAACGTCAACAACATCACAAACCAGCAACTCTTTATTTTTCTTTTGTTCTTCCAGAAACCTCTCTTCATTCGATGCTTCCATATCTCTCAACAACTCCTCTAACATATGGACCCTGATCATCAGATAATTAAGTGATCGACGTTACAATTGGTTGATTGAGTGATTAAATAACTGATTAATTAATTAATTGATTAATTAATTGATTGAATGATTAATTGAATGATTGATAGATTGATAAGTTTATGAACTGATGGATGGAGCAACTATCTCTGAAAAGATTGTGGTTGTAAAGAAAATTTAAATGATAATTTTTTAATTTGTGGCGTTAACAGAATAAGAATGAAAATATTATTATTAACTAAAAAAATAAATGTAGCAGCCCATATATTTAGAATATAAATTCCATATATACGTAGAAGCTCAAGTACCATTGTACCGAACACAAACAAACCGCTAAAAGTTTTTATGAAAAAAATATTATTATTACGAATGTTATTGTTAGCAACAAAATTGACAACGACCTAAAATAATTAAATTAAGTAAGTGAATAAAAATAATAAAATTGTATGCTTAAATAAGAATAATTATATTAAGTAATTGAATAAAAATAAAATAATTAGGCGGTTAAATAAAAGTAAATAAATATTTATGAAATTTGAAAAGTAATTAATTATTATTTAAAATGTTTTAACAGAGTTAAATTTTGTTGTCACCAAATTTCAATTAGTCTAATTTTAATTGAATTTGAAAATTTATAAGCAAATTAAAAGCCTGGAAGTTTTGAATATGAAACATAACGCAACGTATATATATGCTACGATATTAATAAAATATTAATAATAAAATAATAATAATAATATAATAATAATAATAACGTTATTATGAAAATTAATAATTTATATTAGCAGTAGCAGTATAATAATAGTAATATTATTAAAAAAACATGAAATAAAATAATAATAATAACATTAGCATTAGTAGTAGTAGTAGTACTACTACTAGTAGTAGTAGTGGTGGTGGTGGTAGTAGTAGTAGTGGTGGTGGTGGTAGTAGTAGTAGTAGTAGTAGTAGTAGTAGTAGTAGTGGTGGTGGTGGTGGTAGTAGTAGTAGTAGTAGTAGTAGTAGTAGTAGTAGTAGTAGTACAGAATAGTAGTAGTAGTAGTATTACATTCTATAAATTATAAAAAAAACTAAATAGAAGTGTTCTAAGTGGATGTACCAAAATAGTTAGAAGTAGCAGTATTATAATTTATCATTATTAGTAGCAATTGCAGTAATTGCAGCAAGCCGTTTTAATAAGAATGTTGATTTTACATTCAAGTAACATGTTTTTCGAACAAATTAAATATAATTTGAATAAAATATTGAAAATGAAAATAAATGCCGCCGGCGCTAACAAGCTTACAACACAATTTTTTGTTACCTTCTGGGAGCATGTGAAATGTTATTATTAATTTTTGTGAAATTATAATAATAGTTGCTTAAATTAACATTTCCACAAAATCAAATTTTGTTAATACGATTATTGTTAATTTTGAAAAAAATTTAAATTGTGATGTACAGATTAATTTAAATTTTCATAGAAGTTTTGAATATGTACAAACTGTTTGATAAACTGTTCAGTTTAATTAATGCATGCATATTGAAAACTCGTCAACAAGTATTGATAGTTAGTCAAAATTTTTTATATAATGTGAAGTAAAATATCGGCTACGTAGATGCAAACTGTATCAAAAAAACACAAAATAGACTGCAATAGAAATAAAATTAGTTTAACAAAGGTCAAGGTCGTAAACAACTGCAACACAGACTTCATTAGAAAAATAGCGTAAAAAAGCCCAAACAGCAAAGCACTATAGATACACGTGTCGTCTGTCTGCGTGTCGTCAAAAAAATGAACAGCCACACAAACATCAAAAGCTTAATAGAGTTATCTTACTGAAGGTAAAAATTCAGCAAACGTGTATGCGTGTCCGAAAAATTAATGCGTTTTGCAGTTTTTGTGTATAACGAGCTATTTTTTCAGCTCCAACTCTAACCTCCAGAACCAGTTGCGAGACAGGCGACCATTACAGCTCAACATTATTATTCAGATATTAACTAAATTAAACATGTACAAAAGAACATCACCATCAATGTCATCATCCCCTGCTAACCTTTCAACAAGTTGGACGTTTTCTTCCTTCATCTTTAACTGTTTGTCCTCATTTTTCCTTTGCGTCTCCGATAAACAGGCCAACTTATCCTCAAGTTTGGATATCTGCAATCAGAATTTTTTTATTATTTGTATGCACAATCAAATAATTTTAAATATTATTGTTATGATTAAGCCTGTACTAAAAATCTGCTCCGACTCTAGCTGATCTTTGGTCTTTTTTCAAAATCGAAATTTTATTGCAAATTTCTGCCAAAGTTCTAATGCACATATAATTTTGTATGTTTCTACATTTGTATGCATGTATTTTTATATCTAAGCATGTATGTACAGGTTCACACATTGTATATTAATATGATTATATGTGAACTGTATAATATATATGTAAGTAAATCAATCAAAAAACGTTAATGTTCAAAATTATCTGAAGCAAAAATAAATAGGCATTTACATCACTGGAACTATCTAGTTGAATACATCTTAATTATATGTTATTTACTTTTAAATTATCAGACATTTGCACTAAACACTAATGATCAAGAAATTTGTTTTTAAAAATATATCAGCATGTGTGGTACATGCATGTACGTACATACATATTATTATATGGTGGAATTACACTACATAATTAATCGTTGTTATCTTTTTATATTTGTTATCTTCGCTGATTGTCATTGATTGTAAACCATAGAATCTTTTCATACCATAGAGGCATGTAAAAATTTACTGTAGAGGCTATATAAGGGGTTGCGTATAGAGAGGTTTGAAGCGAAGTCGTAAATGTGATTCATGTAGTTACTTGCACGTTGATCACTCGAACGCTTCTCGATGACTGTTGATTTTTCAGCGGTGTTGATCTGCTATTTATACAAAAATTCAATTTTATATTTCCATACAAAGTCGTATCACTGTAGCCATGGCTTGCTAATTTAGCCGACACTCCTTTTTATTTCCATTCAGCCACAACCAATACGAGGCTTGCTTTGCGCTACTAATAATTTTTTTCAGGCACGCTGTACGCTTCCTGCCTGACAGTCCCAACTCTTTGAAAAGTGCATACATCGACGCTCCCACTGTTCCTCTTGCACCAGCCTCAACAGCGTAGAACCTGGTTTTGTATCCTTTCTTGTTTAAATCTTGAATCAGCTGTTCATTTCCTACATTGCAGTTTTTACGTCGTGGCTACTGAGCATGTTGTTTTCGTACAAAACAGTTCAATAACGTAAACTGAAACCGTATTTTCAGATGCCAACACCATGTCGGGTCTCATGCCTGTTTCTTTGATGTACGTTGGAAAAAGTATTTAAGTAAGTAAGAAAGTATGTATGTATGTATATATTTTTGGGAAAGCAACCATATTTTATAAAGTATTGAATAAATTCTACCGAATTGTTGGCATTAATCAATTTAAAGTTAGTCTTTTTACTAGAATTTACTGGATATTGTTAAATTTGTTAAAAATTGAATTATCTATCAAGTTTAGAATAAAAATTTAATAAAACTTTTGTAATCCAAATTTGTGTTACAACCACTTCACTATCAAGACGTCTCACAATGCATACACAAAGAGGAACCGTCAAATCTCACTAGCAATCAACACATGCAACTCCAATAACCTTGTATATTCTTGACAACACAAAAATAATTTATCGGAACACCAACACAATACATTTTACAATTGCAGAAGCTGTCGTCATAGATATCAATAAACCCCAAATAAACATCCAACAAAGAATGATAACATCATTACCAACTCGACGCCTTAATACTAACTTCAATAACAATGAAAAACAAAGAAATTACAAATAAATAATAAATAATACGACACCAACTAATAACTCACTTTGCTAAAAAACTAACTTCCCTTTTTTTAAAGAACCAAACGTGCACTGAAGATGATTTATGAAAAATTGAAATAAGGTCTTATCTGCATGACGAATTTGGATAACAACAGCTTTATTAAATTTTCATGATGAACATGGATAATAATTCTATTTTCAACAAATTTAACATTTTTCAGAAAATTCTAGTAAGAAAAATTGAAAAGACATACTTTAAATTGAATAATGCCAACAAATCGGTAGAATTCCTACCATACTGCATGTATATATTTGTACATAATGGCATTTACGGATATCAAAGTATATACCAATATATCGGGATTTTACCGATTTCAATAACAATTTCTTCGGGATTTACCAATATCTCGATGCGTTGGTGAAAGCAACATCGACATCGGGAATTTCGAAATCTGTGATAATTCCTGTAAGCGTCAAAGGAATTTCCGGTAATGACATCGGGTTTTTTCTTATTCCCGATAGCGAAACATCGGTGCTGAGTTTTCAAGTTTCCAATATTGATCCCGATCCACAATAGAAATGCCCGCGTCTAACACCTATTATGTATTTTTAACTTTTATAACGGATCCATTATTCTTCCACGTTTTATTAAGCTTGTTGGTATGACTTATTGAAAACATTACTGTCTAATAATCATATAATTCAATAATATATTCAATGCCACAGACCAACTGCCCTGTCTGTGATCTGTGAATTCGATCATTTATATTGTTGGACTTCAGGATTGTGTAGGCCAGATAAAAACATCAATATTTATATTTACAGGTTACAACGATGCATTAAAAATGAAACTCATGTCTTATGATTATAATCAATCGTCTAATGTTAGTTTCGTGACCCCTTATTATGTTTAATATTTTTATAAAGTATTCAGAAACTTTTTTAAAAGTAGTCAGATATTCAGAATGCTATTTCGATATGATAAGACATTTCTACAATAATAATGATAATAAAAATAATAATAATTATTATAATAATAAATATAATGCGGCGATAACCACAAGAACAAACCAACAACAACAATTTAGTACTCACGAAAACAATGTTATTGTAACCTGCAAACTGAAAATTTGTTTCAAAATTCATTATCGTCAAAAGAAGTTCATTAATTGACTGAACGATGAATAAAAATTCAATCAGTGGTTGCATAATAGCAATTGCATCAAACAGTGTTATAAAACCATACGCACGATCGATCGTTAAATATGTGCAACTCTCACCAGAGTAATTAATCACCTACAAATTTTCGCCCCAAATAACCACCTACCTTCATTCCATTTTGGCAATGTCTGATTATTCCTCACACCAAATTTCGTTGCAGGAAACATTTAACACGTAATAATATAACATAACTAATGAAATGAAACCAAACAGAATGTAGTTTTAGCCTAGACTGTTTGCCATATAAGCTTCACGATAAATTCATAATAAAGTTGTAATTGGAAAACCGAGCTCGGTTAAAAATAAATGCACCTTATCAGTGAGATCGTAGACTTGTTCGTCATTCATCATTAGCTCGGAACAGTTCGTGCTGCTGCTGTTTCTGTATAACTGACTGCGGGATAGTGTGTCAAATTATTTTTACGTCAAATACGCATTCATTTTTTTTTTCAAAAAAAAAAACAAAAATAATTTTTTATGTGCGTTTGCGGGTTGATTCGAAAAAATTATTTTCACGCAGGAAAGTTGTTTTAGGATTGATATTACACACGTACAACATACATCAGCAATCGAATTGGGATCTAACAATATCGATCAGTTCAGCGGGTAGATACAACTTTGAAATGCTGAAACGTAAAACTAATTCTTGCGTATAACATAACATAACAAAAATTATAGAAATGAATAAAAATGAAACAAAGTGAACCTAGCAATAGAACTTGGGGTTACTGATTTTCTGAAGCTCCTGGAGGTATTAAGTGAAACATATCACAATTGTAAATAAATGAGCTCAAAAAAATGAGCTAACTGATAGCGAACTAAACAAAATACATTTTATAATACAAATTTATTCACATCAAATTTATATAACTAAAAAATATTTACAATTCATTCTTCAAAATTAAGTTTTAAAATATAAAAATGTTAATTAAATTGTAAAGTAAAGAATAAAATAAAAACTTGAACGAATTTTAGTTAAAATGTGTGGTTGCTAAAAAATATGGACGAGTTGAAAATTTAATTTGAAGTTACCTAATGATTGAATCTTGAATGAATGAATGAATGAATAGATGAATGAATGGATTAATGAATGAATGAAGTAATGAATGAATAATTGAATGAATGGATGGATGAATGAATGAATGAATGAATGAATTAATGAATTAATTAATTATTAATTACACTGGCATGCATGATATCAGATGTTTTCAAAAATGAAAATTGTTTCTAATAGATTTCAATGTGCTGATTTCAAATATGCAATCCATTTTTTTTCTATCACGTACAGTTTTTTCATAATTCCAAAAAATGGTTTCAAACATCATATAACTGAAATACCTTACAAAACCCAGATAACGTCTGATATTTCAATGATATAATCCAATATATATGTGCAGGTGCACGTATCTGTGTCTATATTCATTACTCGCATGGATATGTTATATTACTATATTCGTATACATACACACAGACGCACAAATATGACATGAAATTGCTTATATCATCAAAATCTAGGCCTGCCCATTTAATTAAAATGAATTTATTATTTAGTATTGAAATTTCTATTCATTTAAATTCATATGATTTCACATGCCTACTAGTGGGAGTTCCAGAAGATGTTGTTTGAATTCTCAAAATTCGTTTTGTTATATTTGTGAAAAATACACGACTCAGAAGCAAAGACTGTCGTCCATCAATGGATTTGTGAAAAAAAATTTGATGCATATTTTAAAATAAAATTAGGTGACCAAAATAAACCATGGGCACCTCGTGTTGTATGCAGGACATGTGTAGAAAGACTAAGAAATTGGAACAGAGATTTGAAAACTTCTTTAAGTTTTGAAATTCTAATGATTTGACGTGGACCCAAAAATCACACAAACGATTGTTACTTCCGCACGGTAAACACCAAAAGTTTTACCAAATGATGAATCAAGTTATGATGATGTTGTTGAAACTGATAAAGACAATTTTTCACTTAACAATTCAGATTCTAGAGGAGCATTTCCTCAGGCTAAATTAAACGACCTTGTTCGAAATTTTAATTTATCAAAAATTTCATCAGGGTTACTGGGATCACGTTTAAAGACTAAGAATTTACTAGAACCTGAAACAACTTCTTCAGAAATCGTGAAACAGAATTTATAAATTATTTTTCAAAAGTTGATTCCCTTGTATATTGTTCAAATATACCTGGATTGATTACTTAGCTGAGAGTTATGTATGATGCCAATGAATGGAGAACTTTTATTGACTCTTCCAAACGAAGTCTCAAAGCAGTTCTTTTGCATAATGGAAATATTATGCATCTGTATCAATTGCATATTCTCTATTCAATTGAAAGAAACTTATGACAACATGGCGGCGCTTCTTCATAACATCAAGTACGATGAGCATAAAAGGTTGATATGCGGTGATCTCAAAATAATAGGAATTCTACTAAGCCAGCAACTTCCATGTTTTTTATGTGAGTGGAATAGCAGTGCAGTTAATGATCACTGAGAAAATAATATTGGCCATCACGAACAAATTTTCAACCAGGTATAACAAATATCAAATTTCTTAAGTTATTTGAACCAAATAGAATAGTTAGAATAGTGGTTTGATAAAGTACCACATAGACGACTTGTCAGGAAATTACGAGCATGTGAAATATCTGATAGTTTGCTTCAATGAATCACCAACTGGTTTAAAAACAGAAAACAGCAAGTATGGATCAAAGGCAAAAATTCATCATGATAAAATTACTAGCGGGGTTCCTCAAAGTTCTGTGTTGGGACCTCCATTATTTGTTATTTACATCAACGACATTGATTTTGGCAAAATATCAAAAATATCAAAGTTTGCCGATGACACGAAACTGCGCAAAGACTAACAATGTGGAAAATGTGGAAGTGTTAAGACAGGATTTGGCAAGATTGTACAAGTAGTCTGAAGATTGGCAAATGTTATGTTATGTTTAGTTAATATATCTGGAAATATTTTAGATTGAAACTTGTACGTTATTGTACAGACTTTAAAAAATTTTAATATTTAATAAATAGCCAGTGCTAATGACAAGGTATGGAGATGTGTGAGTAAGATAGGGGTACGAGCAATTAGACGAGCAGCAGGGTTTACTTATAGGATAAAGTGTAGAATCAGAAAGACCAAGGATTACAATAATCAATCTTAGATAAATCTAATGAAGTAGCAGTTAAGGCAAAAGTACGAAGATGAAAGTATGAATTTTTAGCAGCACTATTAATCTATTTAAAAATATTAAAAATTATTTCAATAATAATTATTAATTAATTAACATTGTTTATAAATATTAAATAGATATAGTGAATAAATTCTAAGATTTAAATTACAGTGAATAAACTCAAAAGTTTAAAAAAACTGACATATAACAAATAACATCTCAAGTGGAACATAAATACACAAATTTGAAAGGAATAATAAAGAATTGTAAATATGGTCTCATTCTAAAGTGAGTTTTAGTTTTGGTTATCATTATCACTGTTATATTATATTATATCCGTACTAAGAAAATTTTGCTTCAAGTCATGGACAGTTTGTTCAACATTCAGGAATTGTACAATTTCAATTGTGCAATTGGAATGAGACATGATATTTCTGTAGACCAAAGAAAAGAGTTTTAAATGTTGGTAAGTATAGACCAAAGCTAAGAAAACCAATTGCCAGAGGAAGGAACTACTTTTTATTTAGTTTCAAGGGTGCTCTTGGAAATTCGCGTATTATAAAAATGAAAAAAATACACACAGCTTGAATGTGGAATAATAACGGTTTAAAGCTTTATACACAAAAATGACAATTGCATAAATAACAAACTTGATAAAATTAAAACATTATTAAATCAATCGGATAGTAGAAGGATGTTACAATCTTCGTTAAATAAAAAAAAATCCCAAACATTTACTGCGTAAATACAGAAAAATTTTATATGAAAATTTTAAGAAAGGTCCAGTTGCCGGATGAAAGATGTTGGGTCTTGGGTGTTGAAGAAAAAAGAGAGCAAAGAAGAGCAGAGTTGACGTGGGCAAACGTAGAAAAAAAAAGTAAAATATTTCAGATTTGATCCGCTGAAAATATTAATAAACGACGCAAAAAAATATGCAGGACTAACATGATGATATGAAAAAAAATTTGTTTTTCACGCAATTGTTAACAGTTAGGATTGTAATATAAAACATGACAAGCAGATCATTTAGCTCAAAAAAATTAAAATAATCTTTCAAATTTGTATAAGGTTTACTCAAAGAACTCTTGTAGGCGAATCAGTGAAGATAAAATTGTAGCAAGTGATAATAAAGGATGAACGAATAGATGGATTAGTCGATAAATGAAATGGTGGTTAATTTGATGGATGAATGAAAGAAAGATGGACAAGTGAATAAATGAATGAATGAAATTATTGGTAGATAGAGGAATAAATAAATGAATGGATACATAGATGAATAGACTGACCCTGTACGACTTACAGGTGCAGACACGCGAGGAGTTGTTGTCGACCTCACTGAACTTCTTGGCGTCGACATTGGCGTTGAGGGACTTTTACGAACGAAAAAAATGGCGCTCCTATCGTCATTCTCCAGATCTGTGTCTAAAAGGCTGTTGTTTTGATAGCTGTTGTTGTGAGCAGACGTCAAAGAGATTTGAATAGGGAGGTTCTCCTCGAGCGCAGGAGTCGACCAAGGTCTGCTGGGTTAGGCGTATTTTTTTATTGTTTTCTATTTTTTGATTGTAGACTTAGCTGATAGATAGATTATCAAAATTTTAACATTTTACAAAGCGGCACTATGAAGACAATCATGTATGAATATTAAGAAAAATAGAAAATATACGAAATAAATGTAATGTATTAACAAACTTGTCAATTAAGGCTGACTCCCAAGCGCCACTGTCGCCGCCATTTTCAAGGCTGCTCTGCTTCGATTGCTGGTTAAGAGCTGACAAATGATTGGCATCGCTGCTGGTTTCTGGGCTCATCTCTTCCTCTCCCCCCTCACCTTCCTCAGGATCGGGAGTGGCAGTTGTTTCGTATATTTCCGGAGACTGTGCAATTTTCAACATTTTTGTTAAACGATTAAAATAATTTAATTTATTGTATGAACAAGTAAATTATTATTAATGTTTGAACAAATGACCGAATGATTAGAAAGAAATCTGTAAATTTCATGTTTAAAAAAATGAAAAAAACTTTAAAAATTTCTCAAAAATTGAAAACACAAAAATTCTTGCCGTTCATAATCGAAAAATTCGTCATTTATTGAGGTCAAAAAAGGTCAATTACTCTCTTCCAAAGTTCAAGTGATTCAACAGCACGCCGCAAACATCGTTTATGAATACATGCTAAACGACGCATCACACACCAAGCAAGTGATGGGCGGGGATCTTTTGGTCATATTCGAACCCGGTCACTAAGAAACAGCACCAGGCGACCTTAACCACTAGGCCATCAAGCCTATTAACTGATTATGAAAATATAAATTTGTTTGGTTTTCTAACAAGCATCAGCTTACATTAAATTTGAACGTGTCCAAAATGAAAAAATAAATTCTGCACATCAGATCTGCCTTTCATGTATTTCAAATGAAAAAAGATCTCTTTGTATGCGATGCAACTAAACATTTTTTGATCGATGCTTGAAATGAATGAAATAATCGTGATCAATATTGCTCTCAATGAAACTGCAATCGTTGATAATTTAAATAGTAAAAATATCGCATCAATAATTTCAACAATATTGTTCATTAGCTTTCATAGCTTTTGTTATCTTGGAAACTTTCCTAGCAACGACGATGAAATGAAATTATCAGCAATTTGATCGGTTGGTGCACTTGTTGAAAAGAAATAATTACGATAGCGAAGATGGCTGCCATGCTTCACAACGGCACCCTCCTAAATGGATGTAAATAATATTAAGTTATTAACATGCAAGCCAGACGTTCGATGAAGAGATTTATTTCAACTGAATTACAACGTTGTACAGCTTCAACGTTATTACAACCATGTTATTTTTGTCAGTTTATAGAAACTCAAGATCCGAGTTCTGATGTATAATTCAACGATTTATAAAAAAAACTATTTCATTAGTCTAATAAAAAGTAACAAACAGAAAGAACAAAAACTAAAATTGTGGAAAAAATCTCATTAATAACTTGTGAATGATTGGTTGAAAAATTAACATAATTGATGGACGGAAGGATAGACGAGGATATGGAAGAGAAAATAATGAAGTTTCGTTAGGAATTAATAATTAATTTATTAGCGAATGAAGGTAATATAAATGAAAGAAAGGTTAGAAAACAAATGGAAATAACAAATGAAAGGGTGACTGCGAATGATGGATGGAAGAAAAAATGAATGAAAGTTATGAATGAAACAACCCATAAAAGAATGAATGACGAGTAGGTGAATGGATGGTACTAGCGGGGGATGGGAGGCGGGAATGATGATGGAAAAGGAAATGAAAATAACGAATGAATGAAATATTAATGGACCGAAAATTTAATTTAAAATGTTAATTTCAACCTTCGACCCATCTGCGCTGAAACGCCTAACAGTGAGGAAGTCATCGATGGCTGTCTGGTTTATGTTGTTGTCATCGATCGACGCGTCTGCAAAAAAGTGCAATCGCACAATTCAGATCACAGAGAAGAAACAAATTTAAAATTTATTAAAATTAATATATATATAAAGAAATAAATATTATTAAATATATATACATAAACAAATAATTATATATTGAAATAAACAAATAGTTATACTGTTTGATTTCAATATTTCTTTGACTCCTTTGCAAAATCCGTCGTAACTTATTTTGCCAGTTTTTTCAGAATCTAATACTGAGGCCATGTTTTCGATGACCTAATGGGATGATTTGACATGGACATTTTTATCTCAGTGTTTTATTTCAATTGTTACAACTTGTAAAATTTTTTAAAAATTTTGGTGTATGCTTATAATAGTTGTTTATTTTATATTTTATGTTTACAGACACTGTATATATATATATATATATATATATATATATATATATATATATATATTTATATATATATATAATTATAGCTGACTCGGCCTTAGAAAATGATTAATGTTGTGTTAATAGCAGAGTTTCATTAACTTGAAAACAAACGAAATGAAACAATGAAGAAAATTTAATTTACAGCTGTACCCTGCTCAATATCAAACAACCAATCGTTGTCTAAGCACAAATGTTCAGCGGCCCCACGTGCGTGCCACTGTCATAATGCCCGACTCGATGAACCAAACAACTAAGAAGCACATGGACAGGGCATCGTCAGTTTGGCAGGCATCGACTTCGATGGTCACATTTTTGGTAACCCATCCCAATCGACGCTACCAAATCATTTCCAGATAACTTCAAAAGTCTATACATTTTTTTTTTAATTTTTAAAAAATATCAGAATCCGACAAACGCAGAAACGGTTACAGCATGCGAGGCAGGCAGTAGTATAAAATGGTAACGAAAAATAAATAACGGAGAAAAAATATTTAAGCATGAAAATGTATAAAAAATAAAGTAATAGTTTAAAACACAAATAAAAATAAAATAATTTATTAATAGACTAGTCAATGACTTAGTAAGTAAGATCGATGAGAAAAAAAAATAGACAAAATTGAGTAATTGAGTAAAGTTTTATTGGATGCTAATATATTTAAGGTGTTTGTGATGAAGGTCTTGTCCTGATAAGCTGGTTGAGTGCCAATAGTTTTTTGACTTATCAGTGATTTCTTCAATATCTGATGACGGCGTGTGTGTATTTGTGCATGTTAGTAGTCAATGTGTCGCTGACAATCAACTTCATCTTTTCTCATTCTCGAGACCGGCATTAAAACTTCAAGTTTCCGTTCCCGATCGATTTGAGAACGTTTTTAAACGAATTATTTTTGATATCAAATAAATAAAAATCTTTGTTGATTTGATTTTTTACTTTGTATGGCTGTGAACTAACCTCGATTAAATAATTGTGCATGATGCAAACTTATTGGGCTGAATGTAGCGTTTTTTTAAATTTTATTGTTAAAATTCTAATTATTAATTTTCGCAATTTATTATATTACACTTGCTAGGCTAAGTTTCTGAATACACCATCGTTGTTAGGAAAGAAAAATCAATTAAACCAATGCACATTAAACCAAAATTAGTATATAAGATAAGGAAAATACTTTGGCGTTGTTGTTATGACCATTGGAACTTGTAAATTCTTTGGCGAGCTCAAGAAAATGGTCTAGCGAAATGAACCCATTTTTCTGTTCGTCAACAATTTCAAAAACTTCCTTCAATCTGGCGGCCAGTGACTCTTCATTTGCCGACTTCATACTTCCCATGTCATCCGAGGATTTGTTCTGCGGTTGTCTCTACAACACAATCTGGAAATATTTTTAATATAGTATTATGCAGTTTTTCTATGACAATAAAAACCGTATGACGAGTGAACTGCAATAGTTAATTTGAAAGTGAATAGTTATTTTTTCATTAAAAGAAACTGTTCATGTTAAACCAGAATTAAAATTGACTGCAATTTTTCTAAAATCCAACACTAAATTTAAAACATTGAAAAGTGGATCGTCGCAATGGGACGGTGAGTTGCATCTCATGTTCAAAGTTGTAGTGTGGGAGCAAATTTTATTTCATCAAACTCAAAGACTAAATAAAAAACAGAATACAATAAAATATTGCAGAATTTTACTCGGTGTACTGGTGAAAATTAATTTAACATCCCATTGAACAATGTCAGTGTACTTTCTAGTTGAAATGGAGGTGCACAAAATAATTTTTCGATGTACGGTTGACTAAATTAAATATAAAAATAAAAAAAATGCAAATTCATTTGTATTTATTTATGCATCTAATCAATTAATTTAGTATAACAATTTATGAATATAATGACATTTGTTGACCGAAAAAAACATTTTTATTATTAAATAATTCAATTTAAAGTTATTTTTACAAAAGTTTAATTTTTAAGCCTAAACAAATCCTTGCCCGAACCCCAAAAACCACAAGGTCTTCGTTTCAAAAGAAGCTTTAAAGTCAAAATGCCATCTTCCTACTCTTCATTTATTCATAAAGACAAAACGTCATGCGCGTTATTCGATATTTTTTATACTCAAAGGTTGCAAAAATTTTACTAAAAACATGTAAAGCCAAAAAAATTATTGAACGAACAAATAAACAAAAATTAAAATATGTTTCATCATTGGGGCATGCACAGACTTGTCTTAAAGAATCCAGGATCTGATTCACTACTAATATTTACAATACTGATAAAATGTTCAAAGAAAACAAAGCAACCTGTAATGTAGGAAATTTGAATGAACTAACGACTGAATGAGGAACAAATTTGAATGTGCGATGAATGACATTGAATACATGAAAATGAATTTGAATAATTGATATTAATAATTGTGTTTGATGAGTGTGGCTTATTAGTCATTTAAAACAAAGAAATACAAAGTTGCCAACAAAGTTTTCCAAATTGAAAATTAAATTATATAAATTAAATAAATTAATCTAATTATGTTAAAATGATTAAAGTTTGTCGATGCAAAAAATTTATAAAATGCTTTAATTTTAAGTGAAAAAAGTAAAGTTTTTACTTCTACTTCGCTCTTATTCAATAAAAATTTGTGCACATTATATTGATTGATGTAATTAATGCAAATATTATAATAGTTCAATATTATAAACCATAAAAGTAAATAATTTATCTGATGCTATTTGAATCTAGTTTATATTCTGTGTGACGATATATTAGTAGAAATGAAGTACTCAAGGTCGCACTAATCACGTCTTTGATGAGGAATAGTTGAAAATTGTTTATGAATATAACGTTACATAACATTTTATCATGTACATTTATGCAAACCAAAAAAGCGAACCAAGTCCACATCTAACAAAATACATAATTAATAAAGAATTGTCAATTTAAAAGAGTCTAATAACAATGAATATTAATCTAAATTAACACTAAAAACAAATAAGAGTTGACAAACAAACAAACAAAATAAAATTACCGCTGAATATGACAGAAATCCAAAAGATGTATAATATGATAAATATTGATGCAGCTAGCATCATCGTCAAGTTATTCAGTCTACGTACATTCGCTGGTTTCTGATAGATGAACACGACTTGTTTAAACACAGGCTCGTTTAGACGTTTATTTGAATGCCAACAGCATTAGAAAACAGAAACACTGAATCATTCGCTAACACAAAAAATCGTACATTTTAAAATCTTACTTATAGATAAATAATTATTTAAAGCATTTGTAAAGAACGCAGGTGCTCCGTAAAATAAATTTGGCAGTCAAATCGAATCGAGTAAAAACCCGCCTTCTACTAACCTGCATTATGGAAAAAATTGGATGGAGAAACAAAAATAAATAAATAACTTGAATAGTCACATCTTTTATGTGATAAAAGAAGAGAATAAAACAGAAACGGGCAATATACGAAAAGAAAATGATGAGCAAATGAAAAAAGTAGCAAGGTACGTTTGCAGGTTCTTCCGCGCAAAGTTTGAGCCAACATCGAACCACTTTCCGAAAACAACGCCCAAGTTCAGTTGTTCGTATCACCCATCCCACTGCAGCGTTATATTTTACTTAAAATCTACCTTTGTGCTCCCGTTTAAAGACAGACTCATTCAGTTGCGTTTTTAATTGTTTTAAACAGTAAATATATTTTAACATTTAATAATTTTTAATTCATTCAGTAAATTATCCAATAATTTTGTTATATTTAATTTTTGTTAATTTCAAGTTTTCTAATAAATTTTTAAAGAAAACATTATGACCAGGATTGATAAAGCGATACGTTCGTGAAGTAATAGGACGCGATAGACATTTATTTTGAGATGCTTTGTCTTACACGATGGTGACTTTATGGCGATGGAGGAGTATAAATAGAGGTATTTTCTATCCAAGGTTAGTCTGTTTATGTTGCCGTTTGTATGTTGTTTGTACGGGCGAATCTAGGCAACTTCGGAAAGGGACCAAAAACTGTGAATTACTCCTAGCGAACTTTTTTGTTGATAACAGGGGCCATCCCCGGACCCCTCAAATCTGCCACCGGTTGTTTGTATAAAGTTGTTAATTATATGCTCTTTATATGTTGTTGATCGTGTTTTTTGGTTATAAATTGTTTTTTGACAAATTGCAATTTTAGAATTTTATTTACATTTATGCAGATGTAATAAATTTTAAATAGATCAAATTATTGAAAATTAAATTTCACACCGTTAAAAATTAAATAAGTTGAAGTAGAGCAAAAAATATTTTTAAAAAATATTTGCCTAACTGGGACTATGCAAATTTTGAAGCCCTACACATTCAAACGTTGTTTATTTTGCTCTCGAAATTTTTTAAAACAAATTTGTTTCATTATTTACATTTTGGTGATATTCCTGATGGTTTAGAGACAAAGTATTTGTGTTATGATGAATACAAAACTTGAACGATACTCTTACAAAAGTATGGGCGATGAAATAAAAATACCGAGATGTAATGAATTTTCGATCATGTTCATTTGAACTTAATTTTTCCAATCAAGCATTTTCAAATAGGGTACGAATTTTGTAAAGTTTTATTTTCTTAATTTTTCGGTGTGTAGTTAAAAAAATCCCAACACGCAATTACAATTTTCTAACTTGAATTAGAAGCCATCATTCTGCAATTCTGACATCAAATATGCAGCTCCTAACTGGTCTGGCTTCGCTACACAACAACAGCCTCAACAACTACAATCTCTCATCAAAAAGTAATTTGCCTCAATCAACTACATTCATCATATCCTTCGGTCACTCAAATATTCAACACACTCGATTCATATTTTAAGAAAATAGAAACTAACACCAACCACATCATCCACCCTCTACTACCACCCACTACCTTCGTCAACGTAAACATAAACATCAAACCCCACTCAATCAACTTATCAAGATGAAAAATTCATCCCAAGACGCCTAAAACATATCAACACAAAATAATCATTCGTCGTCTGCTGTGTCTAATTTCTTTTCTATAATATATTTATTTGTTCATTATGTAATTAATTAATTAATTTAGTCATTAATCAGTTTCTAAAATCTTCATTTAATTTCCCCCATAAATACACTGTTTATTTTTTTCATTTTATAATATCGTCCTGACGTCTGTCAAATTTTGATTTTTCAAAGAATAAAAAAAATCACGTTGAATACCTTAAATACGACCGATTCTTACATAAAACTATTTTAATAAATTTTCGTCAACAAGCCGATGAAAGATTCAGCTGTACGAAATGATGTTGTGTCAGGTTGATGTTAGCATCCAGCTTCTTGCGAATCATGACGATGACAGAATGAGAGTTGTAAGTTGAAAGCTCACGCCTACCACAAAAATCGAAAAAAATCTATTGCAGCAACAAATTTGTTGTTGGCTTGGGAAGAGTTTGCGAAAGGATGTGGTGACCTAACCAACAGTAAATATTTAAACGAAAGTTGGATGAACGTTGGATAGATGTTCCTTTCAAATTTGTGTATGACTGAAAAAGTGCTAATTTATTATTGATTTTGTTTCATTTCTTCAATGATAATATAATTGTTACTTACCTTAATGTTGTTTTGATTCGTGGGATTAGCTTTGCCTAATTTATATTATACTATATTATGTTTCATTTACACTGTCATACTTTTTTTTACATGTTTATTCGTGGCTTCGTTTACGCTTATGTTTTTACGAGTTCTAAATTATTTTTCATTAACTTTTAACGTTAGATACGGGCTAGCAATTTTTCTTCGCGTCTATTAATACTTTATTATTATTATTAATAACATCATTATTATTATCGTTATAAACTGTAAAGGCACGAAGGGTCTACGGATGCACCAACGCTCGTGCAAAATATTTAACCTCAAAAACTCTGAAAATTCTGAAGAAACAACAAACGATCCTAAAAATAGCTCCAACTCGCAATCGTCTTTTCCCCATCAACAAACATCTTTTTCACCCTCAAGGGCACCAAATATCGACAAGGTAAATGCACCACAAATGCACCACGAAACTGCAATCCAGTGGACTGAGGCCAATGCGTAATTCCATTCGCAGAGAGCAAACCTGTCTAACGTCGACAACATTGACAACTTCACCAACAGTCTACAGTTAACAATATACGACTACTTCGCATCACACTAAGGAACGTTGAAACCTAAAACAATTCACCGGTAGATCAAAACAAACCAATCTATAAACTAAAAAAAATTGAAACAACTTAAAATTCTTATCCGTAATAGTCACAATTTTGATTTTCAAATTATAGGACTCAGTAAACTAGTAAAATCAAAATTGTCTTCGTCAAAAGCACTAAAAATTGGTAACAATTAAGATGCTAATAATCAATTAAAACAACACTTTTGGGCCACATGAAAAAGTTGCTTAATCCATCAAACGATTTACTACTTTAAAATTTTTCTGAAACATTCTAAGCAATCAACACAACAATAAGTTTCGCCGGCCAAATTAGATCCAAACTCCACCAATCATTTCCATCATTTCCATGCTGTGCCAACACCCCGACATATAACGAAATTTCAGCAATTATTTCTCAGTCCGTTAGACAAATATCAATAATAATTTTTAAAATGTCCTATACTCCGTACAATACTCCACCAATTGTCTGTTGAATGCTGGAAGTAATCGTCGTTTCATACATGCTGGAAAGGAGGCCTGACAATATTAATTTACAAAAAGGTGACCTCAACCAACCATCAAATTTCAGTCCAATTACACTTCAACCAGTTCTTTATAGAATATTTTCTATTTTAATTAATGACAAAATATTAAAAATATTTCAAAATGAATAATTTCATCAATAAAACCATACAGAAAGGTTTTTACCCAAGAAAAGATAGTGTAGCTGAACGTACACAGTTATTGTCCCACCTGCTGAAAGACGAAAAAGAAACACCAGAAAAATAGCTAGATAGTGCTTGGCATCAGTTTGCCGACATTTTGGCAATCATCGCAAAAAGCACAGATGCGACCCAAAAACTTATAGATCTCAATCAAGCCCGGTGCCAATTGACAGGTATGAAAATGAGAAGAGACAAATGCTGCATATTTGGGATTGGGACGATCGACAAAAAATACGAGCAATTTTTACCCAGATTATTCCTCAGATTAATATCGGTGATCATTTCACATATCTGGAAAAAAATTTGCTATTTTATATGCAAGAACGCAAAGAAAAGGAACTGCTGTATGGTAAACTTAAAGTTTACCATATCCAGACTGGAGGTCTGGATACGTCCGTCCCATGGAAGTTAGAGATCCTAAGGCGCTTTGTTCTGACCCAATTCACATTAGAACTCCGAATGTACTATATTTTATTGACATGGATGGAAAACACACTGGGCTGTCTGGAAACAGAAGCCGTAAGAGGTTGGCTCTCTGCCTGTGAGCAGTTAGTTGCGTCGCAGAAATTCTCTCGCTGCCCTATGAATCTGGAGGCCTTAGCATGAAATCGCTAAAATGAGACTGAAACTTAATGGTTATTTTAAACATAATGCAAGCGATGAAGTAAAGTCTCAATGGATTGAAACATTACAAAAAAAGCTGACAACCTCAATCCAGACATTGCTGATAATAAAGAGACGCATGTAGCTCTAAAACGGCAACAGCATCAGGCTGACTTAAATATCATCTATCACTACCACAATGCCAAGGAGTTATAGTGAAATCAGTAAAAGAACACATCTTCGGCTCAGAGGTCAATTACACGATGGTCCATATCAACAGTAAAACTATCCGAGGTCTTCAATAAATTTTCAAGAAAATACATCAGACAACAACTGCCTACAAATACCAGCCTTCACAGATAGGCAAAAACGACCAATGGGTGTGAAACAGACTAATAAACTCGTCCTGTCAAACTGTGGCTCAACGGCAGCACTCGGGCGATACTTAAATCATCACCACAAAATTTTTAAAATAATCGTCAAAATAATAATTATTATAATCATCATTACCATTGAAAAGCTGGTTTGTGTTTATAAATGCCCACTTCTCCTAATTTAATTATAATTTTACTGCCAGAGTTACCTTCGTGATTGACTTTTAAATGTCTTAATTAAATGCTTCAATAATTTAATTGTTACTAAATTATTTAGATATAAACACAGCAGTTTAGAGAAAATTAAAAATCAAACTCACCAATAAAATTGATTGTGAGTATCCTTGCTTGTACTTTTTAAGATAGAAATGTTTTTGAATAATTTAAAGTAAAATAATTTGTAATTTTTTGATACATTCAATTTTTGTATGCATGGTTGTATTTTGTTATATACAATAGCCGTTCCAAAATTTTGTTGAAAAATATTAAAAAACCATTAAAATAATAAAAATAAAAACTTTTCTATCTAACAGTTATTATTTATTACTAAACTATATATTTGTAAACATTCTTCGAAAACAAATAATCTTAAAATGTATTTAAATATATACATAAATTTTAATTCGAGTTAATCAAAATTATTTTCACATTGAAACTTAACGACTTAACTTATTTATTGAATAAACTATCTAATAGCAGTTTAAACATTTTCTTCAACAAGATTTATTTTTATTTTTCTTTGGTAAACAGGCAACGCCCCGCAATATAAATATCTATCTATCCCATCTACAATTTAATGATGAATGTGATACACAAAGCAGATACAAGCACACTCAATGTACGATGATGCCTACGACATGTTGCCTCTACAACAGCAGTATTCATGTTGTTTACGTTTGCTTACCTGTAAAACACCTGCATATATTAAATAATGAAGCGCATTTTCACTTGATGAAACAGCTTATTGTGTACTTGGTTCGTACGGACGCTTGAATGAAACAGCTGAGGGAATCCTTCAATATGAAACAACCTTCTCCGTGTTTGTTGCTACGTGCTTAAATTATTTTTCAATTCTTTTAGTATTTCAACACTTCATTTGATGACTTATTTTTTTTGTAAAACAGTGTTTTTTTTACAAAATAAGTCTTATCATTTCTAATTTTTCTGTAGTCTATAGATTGTTGTAACACAATTTTTTATAAACAAGTGACACGTTTGCCGAGTGAGGTTTTTAGTTACTAAACCAACGTCGATATAAACGCACGGAAATAGCGGTATCAAAAACTTCTAGTCAACAACAACTACAACCAACATGCTAATTAACAATTATTACAAAAGAACATTCATTTAAAAAATTATTAGCAAAATCATCGTGACGTAACAAAGAAAAGTAACAATGATAAAACAGCAGATGAAATAATAGTTTATTACAAAAATACAACGTCAACAGCTTATAAGATCGATGAGAAAATAATAAAAACAATTGTAAACGGTAACGTAAAAACTATCAACGAAAATGATAAATTAAAACTAGGATTTATTACACGAACAAAACTTCATCCCTTGTTCTTAAAAATAATTGCAGTACTAAACCAGAATCGATAATGAAGAGCAGTCATCAAGTATATTCTTTTGATTGTCAAATCGGTGATTGTAGGCACCGAAACACAGAATATATCGGATTTACTACTACGACTTTGTCAAAAAGGTTAACAATGAATACACACAATGGTGCAATAAAAAACCATCTAATGGATTCGCAACAAATAAAAATAACAAGGAAAATATTAAACTCAAATATTAAAGTGTTATTTTACAACCATAATATAAGCAATTTGATAATGGCAGAGGCTTTATTAATAGAAAATAGAAACCCTGTATCCAACAACAGGCAGTAACGATTCTACCAGCAAAGAAATTACTCACACAAAGAAACAATGAAACTTAGAGTTCCTTCGTTAAAAATACTATAAATACCAGATGAACTAAATAAAATATAACAATATCACAAACTCTATTACACTGATGATGGTAAAGGTTACCAAAAAAACCTCGTTCCAATATATATATATATATATATATATATATATATATATATATATATATATATATTCAAGTTTCTTTAGTTCAAAACCAAAATTTTTTTTTATTTTTTATGATAGAACAAAAAAGCTTTTACCATCTTCGGTGTTCAAATTGATATGTTGTGGTTGTTAGTTTTACAATCTTCAACGTCATGAATATTCAATTAAATAACTAAATATTCACTTTGAACAAACAAGAAACCAATAAATAGGAACAGTATAAAAATATTTGAGCATCTACACCGAAGATGGTATAGGAATACCGAAAAAAGCTTTTCTGTTCTATCATGTATAAAATAAACAAATATATGTATTTTGGAACGAAGTTTTCATTATATGTATTGTATACAAATTTGTATATGTATGTAGTTTTATTTAATTGAATTAATTGTAGAAGTCTCTTAACATCTTTTAAAGTTTTAGAAATTTTGCTTTGTGTAACCCATTTTATAAATATTAATGAAACGATAAAAAAAATTCAAACAATCATTCAAAACTTTGAAATGTTCACTTAAACAGGCGTCCAACGTTGAACACAGAAGTGCAAAATAACAAACATTATAAGAGCCCCAGTGAATTTTTTGCACACCACCAACATGGAAAGGTTGGATTCTTTTTCATTTTCAAACTCGTAGTAAAAAGTTCTCTTGGTGACCGACCATCGGAAGAGTTCTCTGATATTCATGGACCTGTCATCTACGGCTCCGTATCTTACCTTTCTGCGTGTGGAAGCCTTGAATACAGGTGGCTTGGTCACGTACGTACGTTTGTCCGAAGCTCATCGTTCAATGCAAATAAATGTTGATTATCATTATAAATTATAATCATGCATTCGAAAAGTTAAATATTTTTCGGAAAACCCTAGTTCAGAAATAATAAAAGATAAACTACTGATGAATTTTTAAAAGAACGGTTCGGCGGTTCCAAAAAAATGACCAAAAAATTGGATAAAAGAAATATCTTCAACGTTATAAAAAAAAGTGATTCAAATAAATTTAAATCACACATACATGAAAATTAAATAAAAATCAAAGCCCAGTTCATCAACCAGCAAACTTACAATGTATTCCTTCTTTTTCGCCATAATTTTTCATCAAAAAATTTAGATCGTTGCAGAAACTCGTGGAACACAACCCTAAATAGAATCCAGTCCAGCCTCTTTCGCGTACGTAATCTTGTGGATTAACGCACATCAACTGAGCCCCTAACAATGGATATCGTCGTTAAATTTATGTTAACAAGCTAAGCTAACTACTAATTTTATTTAATAAATTACTTAAATTAAATAATTTTTTCCAATTAAAATAATTTAACTTGAAAACTATGTGTAAAAATCAGCCAAAAATTCATTAAGATGTGCAAGTGCATTTCAAAGATGCTTATTGATTTATAAGATAATTTATCATCTATGGAAAGATATAAAAACAACGTTATTGCCCCGTTTTGTGCACACATTTAAAAATTTGAACGCATCACCTGTGGATCTTCAAAGATACATAATTGTTAACAGAAAATTTAAAATATAGCCAAAAATTCATTTATGTGTGCATATATAAATAAATAAACTTATAAATCCGCATCTAAAAATGTCATTACATCACCCGTGGATCTTTAAGTAGACGTAGTCTGTTACGAAAACTAAAAAAACAGCCAAAAATCCATTCATGTGTGCATTTCAAAGTTGCTTGAAGATTCGAATAGATACTTTTATTTTCTAGTAAATGATTTCAAAATACTACTGCTCTTTTTGTGCATCACCAGTAGATCTTCAAATAAACATAATCGGTAACGAAAATCTTAAAAAATTAGCCAAAAATCTATTTATGTGTGCAATTCAATTTTTTCATAAAATAAACGGCCAATGGCGTCGTTTTATGATATCTCAAAAATAACATTGTCTATTAAAATATGTAAATAATGATTATTAATAATTTAATTTTCATTTTAAAATATGTTAAGTTTCATCAGATTTGTCATAATCTGGCTTTTAAATGTAAAGGTTTAAAAAAATTAGTTCCATCACACTCTTCCTAGGTTCAGAGAAATCAACAACACCCAAACATCGCATAGGAATACGTCCTAAACGACGTATCAGGACGCATGTGATAGGCGGGAATCTTTGTGTTATATTCGAACCTGGTCAATGCACTGCGAAACAGCACCAGGCGACCCTAACCACTAGGCCATCACGCCACCCAGGCATGTTAGATATGCTTCACGAACATCAACTTCGTGCACCTTGCACAAGCTTATTGAATTGGAAAATCGGTGACTTGAAAATAAATTGCTTACTTTATTATGCATGAAGAAAACAGTTGAATAGTGAATTTTAATAATTAGATAAGATACAGAAGCGGATTCAATTTTTTTTTGTGACAAAATATAACCAAATGTATTTGATTTTATTATTAACACAAACTAATCTATTTTTTATACTATAACTATTTGAATCACAATACATTTTTGCAATATAATTACAATATATTTCTAGGACTCAGTAAGCTATATTATTATAATTATTTGTTCAAGTAGCTGAATTTCCGTTTGGTTTAAAACAAGGGGAGGCCTATTTACCAATATACAACACTTTCTTATGGGATGAAGCAGGGGTATGCAAAGAACACAATTTTTTTCAACTTTTAATTATTTCCGGTAATGTCGACTTTATTTTTTTAAATTTATATAAAATAAAAGTAATTTATTGCCACATTGAATAACAATTTAAAAAAATAAAATTTTAACATTTTAAAAGCAATATTCCTAAATTAGTAAATATACGTTTGACTCGAACGATAAAAAATCACCCTCCAAGTTCCCTTCGAAAGTAAGCTCCTTGTTCGACCGTTAAAAAAGAGCGAAGGCCGTTATATTTATTCTAGTTATGTGGTTTAAAACTGTTGAAGACGCGTCATGTAACGACTTATAAGAATAAACAAATAAAAGTAAAATATTTGCAATACTAAAATATTAGTTGAAACTTTTTACAAAAACAAAAAATATAGATTACCGGTTTTACAAATTAATCTAAAATGTAAATAAAGGGATAATTAAACATTAATGCCCATTTATATAAGAGATTTACTTCCTGAGTATTCCACGACGAGGCCGCATACGTAATCCTGCGGGCAAACAGTGGGATAATAATTTTTCAGTACTCTTTCAAAATTATAGCCAAATTTTTTCAAGACTCGTTTTGTATTTGAAACCACAACCGTGTTAAATGGAGTCTTTTCGTTTGGGATTTCTGCTTCGTATTCATCAACATTATCCAACAAACCTTTGTAACATTGTAAAATTGAGAAAACCGAGAAAACTGTTGTTTCCTCGGGTGATGCAATTTCTAAATGAATAACAAAAATTATCCATAGATATGACGAGTGATTCATTTATTATTTTTAAGGTAGCATTAAAAAACAAACAATTATAAAGAAATGTGACGACGTTTTGAATCATCAAAAATATGGATATTATTAAATAAAAAATATGGGTGTAAATTAACTGTTAAATAAAGTGGAATTCAGTTGAATGGAAAATATGAACAAAAGGTTATCAAGATATGTATTGTTATATTATATGCATTGTTATTATAATGATATTATAATAACATTTTAATTCATTTAGATATGGGCATATGTTTTTCGCACCCACCCTTTTTTTATGTTTATGTTTATATGTAATGTAGATAGAATAATTAAATAAGTCTTCACATTTAAAAACAACACCGATAGGCCCATGAACATCAAATCAGGCGCAATAAAACATTTTACTATTTCAATTCAATAAAATCTTAAAATTTTCAAAACAATTTTTAACGTTGTTCAATTTCAAATTAGCTATTTATATTTTTATAAATACAAAGCTATTAATAAGAAACAATGACACTTCTGAAGCAAATTACGTCATAACTTCATTGATTTTAATGTGTAAACGTATATAACGTTAATCAACCTTACATCGCCTCTCCGGTACAACAAACAAGTTTTCATTTCTCAAACTGAATTTTAAATTTCAATATATACGAATGCTAAATAATGTTAGTTAAATAATGATCAAAGTTACTTTACAGTTTTGCACGCATTTTCTTCTGTCTTTAAAGGATTATATATATATATATATATATATATATATATATATATATATATATATATATATATGTGTGTGTGTGTGTGTGTGTGTGTGTGTGTGTGTGTGTGTGTGTGTGTGTGTGTGTGTGTGTGTGTGTAAATATATCATTAACATTAAACTTAAAACGGGTTGACTATGCCGGGGATGGGGATGAGAAATGAACTCTCATCTCCTAAAAAATGCTCCCATTGGCGGTAGGTATCCCACCTCAGTGGCGTTCGGTCCTGCCTTGGCGACAAAGCAGCCCTATTTAGGGAGGCACTGCTTTCTCCAACTGGAGAAGGGACTGGAAAATGTGTCCTAAGAAAAGCTAGCCCAACAAAACCGTCTTGTTGGCTGACCGCGGCTGACTGGATATCCATTTTTTGCGGCAAAAATATACATAAATCCAAAAGGAAAATACTGAACTTTGTGGCATGGAACGTTCGCACATTGTTGGAGAATAGTGATCGAAATGAACGTAGGTCCGCCATCGTGGCGCGTGAGCTGGCTCGTTTTGAAATAGATATTGATGCACTGAGTGAGACAAGATTATCCGATGCTTCACAATTTGAAGAAAAAGGTGCCGGATACACCGAGATTCAGACGCTGTTCAACCGCTTCTATATAACAGCTAAGAGATTTGGACTTACAGTCAGTCTGAAGAAAACTGAGGTCTTGCATCAGAGCTACCCAGTTTTGTTGGAGGCAATAGCCCATGTGATGGCGGACGACTCGCGTTTCAATTCTGTTGATAGATTTTGTTATCTAGGCGGATATATCTCCAACAATGCAAATATCGATGATGATATTACAGCAAAGCTTGCAAAAGCAGGTGTTGCTTTTGGTATGCTGACCGGACGTCTTTGGAAAGAGCACGGAATTACTCTGGCCACCAAAATTGCGGTATACAGAGCAGTTGTGCTCCCTTCACTGCTTTACGGTTGCGAAACCTGGACGTTCTACCGTCGCCACATTCGTAGACTCGACCAGTTTCATATGAGATGCCTGCGCATGATTGCAGGTATCCGGTGGGAAGACAAGGTCCCTAACACAGTGGTTCTGTCAAAGTGCGGTATAATGGGTGTACATCGCCTCTGCTTCAAACTCAGTTTCGCTGGATAGGGCACGTTATACGTATGCCAGATACAAGTATCCCCAAGCAGGTCTTTTTTGTCTGCTGGCGTGGGGAAATAGACTGGCAAGTGGCCCTGTACGCAGATACAAAGACAGCCTTTAAAAAAAATATGAAAAAATGTGGTCTAGACCCCAAGGCTCTTTGTGTTGATGCTCTACGACGCTCGGAATGGAGGTCTACCCAGTCGGCGGTTTCCGCTTTTGAACTGGCACGTACAGCTGCCCTCGCTGAAAAAAGGACTTGACGAAAACAGACGGCCCAAAGTGGCGATAGTACAAATGTATGGTTTTGTGGAACTTGTGCACGGAAATGTTCATCAAGGATAGGACTTTTCGCTCATTCTAGGACTCACCGATGACCCAATTCGTCGACCCGACGATGTACTCCATGTGTGTGTAAATATTTCATTAACATTGATACACTTTTCTCCTATTAACAATTTTATTTTATTCTCATTCTAATTATTCTCAGCTGCTGATTTTTATATTAAAGAACGGATGACTTGCAGACTAATGCTTCGCTTAATGTCTCAATAACTCTCATCCATGTTATCATCTCATGAATGCACTCCTAACACCCCGTATCATCAAACAAACACCTTCATTTCAACTCCCCTACACAATTTCCTATCATCCCCTCTACACAATCACAATTTCATAACATCTCCTCCACACAATTACACTTACAATTCGTCACATTCATATCACCACTGTTCTCGATATCACAGTTCATAAAAATTCAACCCTATAGTCAACAACCCTCTTCCACCTATCAACAATATTGAACAGCTCTGACTCGACTTCAATGTGGCTACTCAATATATCTCAAAAGCTACCTAGCAAAATAAATAATACAATAAAATAAAACTTGACAAGCACAATCTCTGCTCATCTTCTAATCACAACATCCAACACCTATTCAACTGCCCCGCAAAACTTACCACACTCACAACTGCTGGGCGGACCCGGCGGCTATGGCTCAATTCCTAAAAACCGAAAGGGCACCCTTCTCAGATAAGCTACAACAACTACTACACAGACTATGAGCTATTAGATGATGTCTGATAGTTGTCTGCAGATACATAGTAAAATACAGTTTTTCTCATAAGAGAAGATAACTGTCTGGCTGGAAATGCACGAATCTATATGAGGGAAAAGATCCAATCAGTCTCAGAAATTTAATAAAAGGGCCGACTGCGATCATCCAACCATAGTGACCTAAGAATTCAAAAATTCAAATCAAAAAAAGATTTTCAGTCTCAGCTTCTCAAATTTGCAATTTGGATCTATCAATCTTCGTTTATCGTCCAGAGACCCAGTTCCCCGAGGTGGAACGTTGTTTTCTTTGCCATCAATTTTTTGCGCCAAATTAGACGATCAGTTATATCCATTTCATTTAAATTTAGAGATTTCATGTCTTGCTCGATTGTTTGCTACCAGGACTTCTTTGGACGGCCTTTGGGACGTGTGCCAGGTACTTCAACATCTGCAAGAGAAGTTATGGCACTTTTTCCACAGCAGACGGGGTTGCCGGCATTCGTCCTTTATATCATCTAAACCAGCACGACGCAGGATTTCGGTAGATTTGATGTGGTCCTTCAGACTAATTCATTGCATCCATCAGAGCATTTTCATGTCGGTTTTTTGAAGTTGTTGTTTCAGTTTGGTTGTCATTGGCCATGTGTCTGCACCACATAACAAGACCAAACGTATCACAAATTTATTAAGTCTTGATCGTAGTGGTAGTGGGATGTCCCGCCGCATCAATATAGAGGCAAGGAGATGCCATTTATTCCAGGCTGCACGTATGCGTGCTCGAACGGCAGCTTCAACTGTTCCAGTACAATCCAGAACATCCCCTAGATATTGAGACGATGTGACTTTCTCTACCTTAATGGCTTCAAAAACATTGCTATTTCGTATTTGTTGTTGCGTATTGATGCAAGCAGAACAAACAAAATTGGACATTTTAGATAGATTAGATACTTTAGATAAAAAATGTTAACGTCATCAGTCGAAGTGACTTCAAGAAACGTTTGACAAATAATTTATTCAACCTCTAACAGCAAAATATGAAGTACGCTTCTGTCAATTCATGACAAGCGTTGTACAAATCCAGCAACACAATACAATTACTACTAATCAAATCATTCACATACAATTTTATTTGAAAGTATTAAAAATCACAAATTAAATTAACATTTCAATAGAATGATATCTATAATCTTGTCGTTCACGAATGTCAGCATCTCTTATTGACCACTTTATTTGCCACGATGAATGAGCAGCATCATGCTAACCTGCCTGCCACACAATTCATCTTATTTTAAAGTTTAATCATAATGAATTGTTATATCTTATTCACAATTTGAACAAACTGTAAGCATTAAACTTTAAATATGTATAAGGTGGAGCTTAAACATCCCAAAAAATCAAATTTGTGGTTTTCAATGGTCTTTCCCCTCAGATATTTTTCTCCTCATCTAAAATTGAGAAAAAAAAGTTTGAGCTTCTTAGTGTTATATTTAGAGGTAGTTCAATGTCATCAAAGATAACCCATTTACAAATTATTATTGAAAAATTGTAAAATAATTCTAGAATACATCTATGTAACAGCATTTTAACTTAGAATCTTAAACATTGTCTTCAAATACAATCAAACAGAAGCCTGTTCTTGAATATACAACCTTTAAAAGCAAAAAGTTAGTGCTTTTCTACACTGCTGACAGGTGACGTACTTGGCCGAAGTTCCAAAAATGTGTGTTTTTTGCTGTCCGGATATGCCTGCCTGTGCTGCTCAACTGTCTGCAATAGGAACTGAAGCTGAGACTCATCTTTGGTTTTAATGCAACTTTGTTTTTGAATAAGAGTGACCCCACTTCTGCATGATCATTCACCACACTCATGGAACGAACTGTCTCTGATGCTTGTTGATAGTCCCCCTATGCCTTCCACATATCTGGATCCACATTGAAAAATTTATACGGAAGTTCCATGAGTTGAAATAATGTGAACGATTTTGCTGAAAAGAAATCCTCAAATTTCTTTTCTATGAATGCTGGCAGGTCAACAGTTATTCGCTTATTATGATCCTGCTGAGCTAGCTCAGTGTTAATCTCGTCTTTCATGGCATTTACCATCTATCTCTTGGTTGCTGCAGTTACTGTTTTGTCAAAAAAGACTAAACCAGCCAGTTCGGGTGACAAATATCACAAGTGATTGGAGAACTTGTGTGATGCAGCCTTTGATGTTGCTGGATTTATCGTTGAGTAGCCAAGCAGTGATTTCAGCAATAGTTGATGGTGCATGGACCCAGGTGCCATGAATCAAATTCCTCTTGACAACTAGCTCCAAAAATTCTCTGTAATATCTCTGCCCTCTGCCAGATATCTCTTTTCAAAAACAATGATACTGCCCCTGATGTCTTATATCCATTATACATCATTGTTGATGTAAGCAAGCTTTATTTAGCATGTAATAATAAATATGCGATTTAGTTATGTGACCAGTGTCTAGCCAGTTACAAAATACTGCATTGTAGTATGCTTACTATGGGTTCTAAAGACAAAAGCCTTAAAAGCCGAGATACATTCAAAACTTCAGTGCACCTGAGCTACAAGTAAATATTGATAAATGAAGCTGAGAATTTGTCTGAATTTTTTCTTCTTCATGTGGACAAGTGGACAAACAAAATTAGGGGGTAAGAAGGTGATATTTCAGAACATAAAATATAAGCTCCACCCTAATATACATGTTTCAAAATATTTCAATCAATTTTTGGCAAACAATACAAAAATAAAGTACAAATTATGACTTTTTAAATATACTTTGTTAATACTGAAAATTTGTATTGTTTAATTATCGAATCTCATTTTCGACATTTCGACATGTTGTCCGGCTGAGTGAGTAGCAGACCTTCCTCGCATATTCGCCACACCGAAATAAGAAATTTAATTTTTCTGTAACTTATTCTAGCGAGTCGTTCAATTTTTACAATGTGGCGTTGGCGTAAGTAACTTCATTCTAAAATTTCAATATTTTCATGGTAATTTTAATTGATATAACCAAATTTTCGGGAATGAGAATTTTGTCGGAAAGGAAGATCGGGAGTTAACTGTTAAAAGCGAAGCTAAATTCACTACATTAATAGCAACATTCTCTGCCTCTGCAACGTGCAATGCAAATGCAAATAAAAATTATAAACATGGATATTTCAAACATATAAACGTAGCACTCATACAGTAGAGAGAGATAGGGTTCCATTCCGCAGTTGGAAATAGTCGCTATTTTGAAATATGAACATTTTTTTGATTGTGATTGAAATTTGGATAAAAATTCATCTTTTAAAATTAATTAAATTTAATTAAATATAAAAATATAAAGTAATTTATATTTAATTAATAATGAACTCTGTTTTCAATTTTTGCTTATTCTATATAATGCAATAGTGTTATGCGACCAGTTGTTATCTTTCCCTATTCTACTATTCATATATTATATATATATATTCTATTTCGGCATTTATATCTAGCCTGAGTGTTATAGGTCTGGCAATAACAGTGCCACATTATCCACTGTTGTTATCCTGTGCAAACTTGTTCAAGGTTTAACTTTAAATAACCTTTCTGTAACTCAAATTCTTAAATTCCTTTTGTGAGCATGATGCACTCTTTGTCTGTATCTACAAATGTTTTTGCATGTGGATATATGCACACTCGCACTGTACACCTCTGGGTTATATATTTTAAGAATTTGTTAATTGATAGTGGTATTTATCATGAACAGAAATTAATAAGATCAAGATGTACTTTACAAGATCATAGGAGCTATATGTGAATAGTATATTGATATTTTTTTCAACAGGAAGCAACAAGGCTATCCATATTATAAGTAAAATGTTCACCATTAAAGAAGAACCAAATGATGATTATTTTCAAAATTCTTATGATTCAAATCCACTGGGAGACGTAAATGATCCACCTACAGTTTATATAGACAATGGGATCAAGCATGAAGTTAATATTTCATCGGAAGGTTACGTCAATCACGATGTTACTTTGTTTTTCTTGGAGAATAATTGTTAATTATTGATTTGTGGGTAGTAAATGTTTTTTTATTGCAGTTCGAGTTAGGCTTGAGTAATGCATTTTTCAATATGTTCACTGTTCATCGATATTAGTTGTTGAAATTTGTTAATGAATTAATTTCAATTATTCTTTTTTTGTTTCTCATTCGGAAACTCTAAAAAGTTTAAAGCTTTTAGAAATTGTTCATTGTTTAGCAACAACTTAAACAATTGAGCCACCGAAAGTTATGACTAATAAATTAGTTTTTGAAGAAGCATTCAAAGTTTCAAACCAAATTAAAATAAAACTATAATTAAAATATGTCACATGAAAAAATTTGTTTACCAAATGTTATTATGTTTGTTAAGAAACTTGTCTATAATACATGTGTATTTTAATTTGGTTAAATTTTCATAATAAACTTTTTTTTAAATAATAATTTATAGAATCACCAAAGGATATGGACTTGAGCTCAAAACCCAAAACTAGATGTCATAAAAAAAGTTTATACAGGGCACTAAATTTCTACAAAATATATCATACAGTTAGTATTGAGTATACATTTACCATTCAGCACCTATGAAATAATTTATTTTTTGTCTATTTTTTTTATTATCTAGCCAAAAAAATTGATGAAACAGAAAACACTGAAATTGGAAGCCATAATAAGATTGACAGAAAAACCAATGATTGCGTTGTTTTCACAAATGTCATCAAATGAATTAAAGAAAAGTTATGTCTACACCTGCTGTCTCATTCCCACCAAATGTTCAGCGAGCTTTTCAAGCTACGGAAATGAGAACAAAGCTCGAAAACAAATGTATGAGCATTTACAAGGCCACCTCGTTGAACTCTTAGACAAGAAAAGAGCTGATCCAACTTTTGTTTTCATGGCTGATGTTGTTCAGAAAAATTTATCTTTAGGAGAATGTATGAACCACAATTATTTTCTAATATACATTTTTTTACAGTAACTGAATTGTTGACATCAAAATAGACTCCAGAAGCCATTTCAATGATGGTGTTTTTGGAATGCTAGAATTAATTAACCTTGATTGACTTCAATCTTTTAGATTGTAACATGTTTTTATTTGAAATGATTTTTTTCCATTTTTAATTTGCCTTTTGTAAATTTTCCAATTTGTTGATTGAGTACAATTTTTTTCAGCATCTGGAAGAAAACAAGAAGAAAAAACAAAAGTAAACAAAAGAAATTGTAACACCTTTGGGACAACGAACACCAGCGATGATAATAATGTGGCCTTTCAAATGTCAGAAATAAAGTTGGAAGAACTTGATTCCAATGACAGTGATCAAGACTTCCTAGGTTCCCACAATGAAGTAGTAAGTGATGATAGTGAAGTAAATGAAAATTTGGCTAGAAAGTAAAAGAAGTCAGATGACGATTGGGAATGGAAACTTTCTGCTTGCAATAAAATGTCTTCTGTTAATGCTACAAAACATGTCATTTCAGAAAATACCAAAAAATCAAAGAACACCGACAACGATAAGTCTATGAGCAGCAAGTTGTACATGAATGTTTCAAAGACCAAATCTCTAAATATTTTGAAAAACTCAAGGCACCGACCTTCAATTTTGTCTAAAAAAACGGAAGTACCTCATGAAGCAGCAGTTCATAAAAAATTTGAGAGTCGAGACAAGCACGTGTGTTTAATAAAGGACCACCCCTGGTGCACTGATCACTCCTATGACTTCAAACATAGAGGTTCTAATAAGGACAAGACAGACAATGAAAGCCACAAATCAAAACAAGATACTCCACTGCATCGAGTTAATTTCCCAGTAGAGAACAACTTAAATCAGCTCAAACTCATTCTACCCATTGTCAAGGTCTGCTTCATTTTATAAAATTTTCAATTTGTAATGCACTTTTGAGTGGTGTATGATGAAACATTAATTTTTATTTAGATGTTGTTGAATGACCTGCCCGACCATCTCGGATGTCTGCCCAACAATGTGTTTGAAGTTTGTTCCGATGAAGATGACGTTGAACTACCAAGCATCAAACTTGGCAAACGTAAGTTTTTTTCATACTAAATATAAACAATAATAATATTTTATTATTATAATATATTTGAATGATCAGTTTTTATTTATTTTGCTAACAATGATATTTTACATTCACCATTAGTTTGATTAAAATTATTTAATTTACTGGCCATTATCATAATTAGTATTTTTAGAAAATTTTGTTTTTATTCAATAAATTCTTTTTTGACAGCCCCACCAACTCTGCTCTCTGGACCTCTTCGAAACAGAATGAACCACACTGGCATGTTAGCAACCTTGAACACTGAAGCCTATCAAACGGTTATGGCGAACGATATAAATAAAGAGGAGGTTGAACGCCTCGAAGCTCAAACAACTTCGTTGTCTGATCTGGAAATCAAGGTTTGCTATTTTATGGTTCAAAAAATATTATAAATATTGTATGTGAAAAATTCATTTTATGAAAATTATTGTAACTTCAAGATAGTGTAATGATTAAGGTGCATGATCCTTGCTGTGCCAGTGTCTGGATTCAGATTCACGCATATTCACATGCACTGTGTGTGATGAATTGATTCACGCACATTCACATGCACTGTGTGTGATGAATTGATTCACGCACATTCACATGCACTGTGTATGTTGTGTGCATTTCACATGTGCTGTGTGTTGTTGACATCTCCTCAGAGAAATAATTATAAGAGAAATATTAATAATAGTAATAATATTTATCAGTAATACTTTTTAGATTTTTAAGGCTTCAAGCATCGAGTTTATGACAACGCATTTATTTAATCAACACTGTTGTCTTTTAGCGTCTCACTACGTACTACCTGAACGAGTTAAGAAACAAAAAGAGAGAGGACTCTGAGATGAGCTTGACTTGCAAGATCTGCAGGATCAAGCAATTCACTCATGCTCATGCTGGTATGTTTGGAAGATGAATTTTTTATTATTACTTCTTAAAGTGACATTCATTCAATTCCTTGAAAATTTTTAATTTTTTATCTTCAATTGTTAATCATCAATGAATCAGTATTAGTAATTGTCCTTGCATCGTTTGGATAAGCCATGCTCAACTTTACAAGCTTATGGCTCACACTATAATTAAATGTAGCATTATTTCTAATGTACGTGGCACGTTAAGAAAACCACCTATTTGTTATTATTCATTATTGTTAGCAAGTGACATTTGTATACGGTGCATGCAAACATCATGTGAAACGAACATTATACTTTTTAATTAAAAGTTAAAACACTTATTACAATATATAATAAATAATTTTAAATAACAATTTTAATACACCTATAGTCCAGTGTGGCAACTGGGGTTCTCTAGGTCTAATAGTTATACTAAAAACTATGTTATACTAACTATGTGTAGCTGTTACATCATATTTTGAAATGATAATTATATATATATAAATTTCAATTGCGCTAGTAGCAAAATTTTCAGCAAAATCACAACCGTGCTTTGGTTGTGATACTTTGTACGAACCATGGAAAATAGTATTTTAAAATGAAACTCTTGTAATTGTTTTTATAAATTTTGCTTTATTAAAGATGTCTTCACGATTGAGAGTTGAACTGAGTTTTATTTATTGAATTTTGACTTTTATCATATTTTTTTTAATTTGACTGTACTGAAAAAATAATGAAGAACTTATAATGGTTGTATGAAAATACTCTGAATTCATGCTCATGATTTGATTTCATGTATATCAATTTTTCAGGCATAAAGCCGTATGTATGTTACCGCTGTGAGAAAACATTCACGAGGCAGCACAGCACTTGCTCACACACGACAACATCAATTGATTCAAGTGTGAATATTGCGATCGAATGTTCAGACATCCCAGTCATTTCAAGGTGAGTATTTTGTGAAATGTAGTTGAATATTTGTGTCTATTTTAGTATTTTTACTACTATGCGTGATTTGTTATTGGATGAATCGTATGTTGTATAAAAACTCGTGCATCATAATTGGTTTAATCAGATTGGTTTAAATTGGTTTAAAGATTTAATCAGTTTAAACTAAATATGGGTGAGCATGCAAGTTGTTCATGTGGGGGGGTCTGCGGAGTGGGAGGTTGAGATTTAAATAATTTGGTAAAGTTTTAACTGATATGTTTTAAATTTGGGTTTGAGAAGGAAATTCGCGAATACATTATCTACGTTGTTTGTCAACGAATTGTTTGGCGATGGATACATTTTAAATTCTTGTTGAAAAAATACTTCATTGATTGATTGCAGGAACATCGCCGAAGTCACACTGGGGAAACCCCGTTCCACTGCACCGACTGTCCTCTGAAGTTCAAAACTAATAACACTTACAAACGTCACATGAGGACAAAGCATGACAAGATAGTCGCTAGTTCCTTCACTTCAAAAATCAACAACTTTTTAAAACTAATCACCATCACGATGTCATTTCTACCAGTAATAGTAATAATAATGAAATGGATACCAACAGCGATGGTTGAGTTGGTTAACAACGAGAGTCTCATTTTGACCTCACCCAATCAGCAAGCTGTCAAAAAACTTTTATCCAAAAACTACAAGGTGATAGTCGTAGCACCAAAAATCAATCCAGGAGTACAGTTGATTTCACTGTTAAAGAGGAACCAGTCAACAAAGATTATGTTGACAAGTTGTTTTAGAACTTTACCAGTTTGCCTAGAAAACCCGATAGCTAAAATTTTGTAGCAGCTTTCTGATATTAAGCTAGGTACTGTTGCATTCACACTTAATTATGACAGCAAAATTCAATATAAATTTATTATTCAACTTTATTCAAATTTATTTTTGGACAACCGATTATTTATATAATTTATTGTGTACTATAATTATTTTAGCTAGATAGCCAGATTTAAATTTATTTTTTGGCATTTTCTTTTTCGTTTGAATAACTTATTTTGGTTATTCCCACTTTATATATTCCATTGTTTATATATTCCATTGTTTATATATTCCATTCCATTATTTCCACTGTTATATTAAAATTGCATGAATTTATTTTGCCAACGTTCATTCAAGTTGAAATACATTTGCAATAGCCGGTTTTTTTATCATTTGCGTTTTGAATATTACACAGTGGGCAGCATGGACTGCCATCAAAAATGAATTAAGTGATATATGTAAAACTTGACCTGCATTGTTATGACAATTCACAATATAAATTATACTCTTTGTCTTTTGTAAATAAAGTTCGTGTTGACCCTGAAAGTGAATAGATTTAGCAACATAATTGAGGTAACATCATTAAAGCCCTAACAAAAATGTTGAGTATATATGTAAACAATCAATATCTTTCTAGATGAATGGTCCAACAAAATTGATGTTTTTTTTTGTAAAAGGATGTGTACTTTTAAAATTTGTAACACTTATTATATCATGGAATGAATTTTTATGAACTTTTTTCAATATTTTGCAATCAAATAAAAACTTAAAAACAATAATGCTGTAAAAATAAATTCAGTTTGAAAAGTGTATTAATGAAAATTTCAAACACAAATGAGACAGATCAAAATTTTGTAATCTGCCGTGTATATACAGCATACATTGTATACAAATAACAATCAATATCATACGATCTTGTTTTTTATACACTATAACTCAGATGTATGCACATTAGAATAATAGATGTTAGTACACCATCGGTATAATTTTTATAAAACATTTCAATTAAATTTAACTTTTATAGACATGCACTTGTTGGATGAGATAATTTGTTAGATCAACATCGAATGCTGTTCCGTTCAGTTGAACTAAAACGACAAACCGTCCTTTCTACTGAAGACATTCTTAAACTAAGAAGTATAAGTAGGTGGTAGGTGGATGCCAGAGAAGTTGCATTCCCAGCATCATCACTTTCATCTGCTTCAAGTTTTTTTTTTATGACTGTAAGCCATTACGAACGCATTTACATTTTTACATGATTTAGCCAGACACTGTTAACATAGAAAATATAATAACCAAACCACAAAAAAAAGAATACAACATGCAAGCTTTACTTACCGTTTTAAGCGTTGAAAAACACAATAAGACACTACTTTAAGAAAATTAATATGAGTCAATATTGAATTGAATAATTCATATTCAATCGCACTCGATTTTGTCCAGCCAGGTCTCAAGGTACGGCAAAACATGACATCAGGGCTCCAACGCAAACCAAATTCGAGGCAATAAGTAAAAGCGAGAGAAGTTAAAGCGTAAATATTAGTCTAAAATGGAATTGATATTAAGACTTAATGGCCAAAGTTTACATTCAGAACTAAAACGTCGAGAGGCATAGGCACCGAAACTTACTGACAAGTTTGAATAAATAAAAGCGTTTACGTAGTGATTTCTTATTTATTATATGCTTCCACGATGTTTAAAACTATATTTTTCGAGCAACGCTTAACAAGTAGACTTCGTTCAGTAGGGTGGCCCCGAAAAGAGCCGTTTAATTGTCAGAGGGGTGGCCCTGAAAAGGGTCGATTAGTTGTCATCATCATCACCGCCATCAGCACCACCTTTGTAAAATGGACAAAAAACGAAGACCTAAGCGGAAGTATGAATAAATTTGGAAAATGATAGACGTACTAAATAAAGCGAGCAAAACAAACCATCTATACTTTAACAACAAAAATTTGTAGACGACCAAGAAAAAGCAAACCATTTAAAAAAATATCATCTAAAAATCAATTGAATCCAGATTTTTTAGCAAATAAAATTGAATAAGAAAAAAATAAATTTTAACTAGAACAATCTTGAAAATTATATTAAACCATGCTTTTTTCAATAAATTTCAAAATTTTCACTCAAGAAAACAAAAGCAGTGTTATTTTCACGAAAACGCTATAAACAACATCCTAATTGGTTCTTTCAAAATTCTTCTTCTAACGTATGAAGAAGAATACAAATTTTTGGGTGTATCTATTGATCAAGAGCCATATCAGCAAAATTAAATCAAAATGTATAAAAGCGTTAAATATAATAAAGCGATCATTTAATTTCTACTGGGAATCATATAAAAAAAATTCTATTACTAACTTGTAGAACAACAGTCAGATCCATTTTAGTTTATGGATGTCAAAGCAGTTTGGTTTTTTCCATGCAATTTTTATTGTTAGAAAACTTTAAGAAAAATTCAGAGCCAAGAAGAAAACTCTTTATTATGCTTTTGTAGATCTGGGAAAAGCTTATAAAATGGTAACAAGAGAAGGCCGGAGAACAGAAAAGCAGATGTTGAGAAAAATAATGGGAGTATCCTTGAGGAATAGTCTAAGTAATGAAGTAATAGAGAAGGTTTAGGGATAGATGAGTTGTCAAATATAATTAGAGGTTTAAGGAAAAGTGGCAGACCAGACCAAAGCTCACCTAGGAAGAAGTGTTGTTCAAGGACATGATGGCACTGAGCCTGAAACCAGAACTGGCCCAGGATAGAGAAGAATGGAAAAGTCGGTTAAATGTGCGTGATCTTGCGACAAGGCCAGCCCGGGGTATTCGTCAACAAACCCTAGAATGAACACTGGGCTGCTCGAGCGCCTATAAACGTGCATGACGACGATGTTGTATTTATACATGCATAAAGTACAAAAAGCGTATAAATAAAAGCGTGTATATATAAAACAAGAAAAATTTGACTTTGAATTTATTAATAAATATGAGCAAAATTAAAAATATTTATTCGAAATAAGTCAAGGAGATATCAAAAAATGCGTTGTTAGTTGATCTACTATCTATATACTTAACAAAATTCATTGTGTCTTTCTCACGGTACACCAAATTCAATGAGTTTTCTTTCGGTTCTATGGTCAGTAGCTGAATTGAAAAAAATTAAGATGAGACAAAGAACGTTGAAAGGTCATGATGACATTAATTATTCACTCAAGCACATGTAGTCGCATGAAGTTGGAGAGTATGCGGCATGTTCAACATAAAAATATTTGTTGAACATTTAAGTAACAGTTTGTTTCAGAATATTTGAACTTATTAATGAGGCTAAGTTTTTTTATTTTGTTTCCTATTCTGAAGACTTGTATAACATAATCTAAGAACAATGCTGGTTAGCTATTCTGACTAGCTAGTCTTGGGGCGTTCATAGCAGCTAAACTTTATTGTACTATTAACTTCGAACAAGTTTCAATTCTATATCAATTCTACCAGAGGATAACGAGACGTGTTTGATGAGCGAGCAAAAAGAGTTTTGTTTATGTACTGAGATTAGATGTGATAAATGAATGCAGTGAAATGGGTTGAGAGAAATTATTATGCAAATGGAAAACAAAATAGAAACGGACGGTAAGTGGCATCATAAAACTAATTGTTAAAAAATAAACAAACCTCTTCATCTTCATCTTTTGAAATGTATGTTGTAAAACCACCATGTTCATAGTTCCAATCTTTGATTAAGTATAGCCATATATTTATATATAGTTATATATATATATATTATATATATATATATGCACTTATTGATGATTATTTCATCAATAGGTGCATTTCTGACAGTCTTAATCCAACATTATATATATATATATATATATATATATATATATATATTTATATATATCGTTAAAAACTTTTTGCAAATCGTGTTTATTAAAATTAATTTAACATAGTGAGGGTAACAGCGCTTTTAATTTATAACATAATATAATATTAAAATTTACAAAAAGGGCAAAAGTTTACATTAAATGGGCAAAAGTTTTCAGCAAGATATGTTTTAACGAAAACCTTGTTCCAATATATATATATATATATATATCTTTATTTATTTATTAAGAGAAGCATAAAAATATAGTTTACACGTCATAAACTAAAAAAACACAAAAACAATGCATCAAAGTTTAGTAGAAGATAAAAATGTCTTCAGTTCTTTCTTAAATGTTTCAAATGATCTAAAAAGTGCCTGATCCGATGGACATTTCATAGAACTTACTTAACACAAATATCTTTTTAATGAGATAATTTGCTATCAAGCAAAATGTCCAAGTTAGATACTATTGTAGTAAATAATTTGACTTCACCTATCTCAACTGAGCTGAAATTAAGCTTTCACAGCTGCGGCCACGTACCAACTGGAAGCAACTGCATTTTAAATTGTTGGTTGAGCTTGAGTGAATTAGACGACATCTAATTTACAACTTCTTTCACGCACTGGATAAGTCTATCGATTTCATTATGGAATGCACTTGGCGAATTAAAGACTAATACTTGAATGTCGTCTGCAAACGCATGACCTGGAAATCCATAAATAGCAAATCTTAAGCTTTCATGTTTCATACGTGTTCTACAAATACTGTTGACTAAATTGAGAGTTTTAATGTAAAGCCAAATTTTAAAATGTTTAGATAAATCAAACACTGAAAATTTCCAGTGTTTCGAGTTGACAGGCTAAAATAGAATAAACAAATCAGCAATACAATCATCAAAAAATTCAGTCACTAACCATCGCAGTTGAAAGCAATGAGTGCATCTAATGCTTCGTTATCAAGGATGTGATTATTAGCTGTTGCATAGCAGCCATGACCCCACTTGCGAACTGAGAAGGAGCATTTAGCATCACATGACCCTAAAAAATAATACATGAAGTAATAAGTATGAATACTTAATAATAATAAATTAACTAACCATGGTCGATGAGCTCATTACAAGATTCAAAAACACGATCATCTTCTTTGCCCTCAGAACTGTGAACTTTTTGTTTTTTGGTTTCCACTTCACAATATTCCATTCCATCGCCACATTCAAATTTATGCTTCCTGGGAACTAAGCAGTTTTAAAATATCATAAATTTATTTAAGAACAGCTTCAAAATTTTTGAACCAGATTAAACGTAAATTTAGAAAATAATGATTGATGCTAATCGAAATTTGAAATATTTTAAATGTTTTGATTAGCTGGTAAGGATACAGTATGTAAAAAATGTATTGAATAGAGCTGAGTTGATAAGAAGTTTGAAATTTCAACTTTTAATTTAATATTATTAATAATATATTTATTCACAACTAACGCATTAAACTTAAGTTGTTCCCTACTTATTCTCAAAAGGCGTTATAATGAAGAGTTTTTGAAAATTAAAACGATTACCATTTTCAGGACACGCCATTGAAGAAGATGCAGACGATGGCGGTTCAACTGCATTTGCACAATATTTTTCATCACTAATGTCATTATTTATATTCTCATCATCAGTTTCATCATAGTCATCGTCATCACTTGCATTCTCATTCGATTTCGGCACAAATCTATGAAATCTGATGAAAATAATTAAAATAAATAAGTAAGTAAATATCATTATGCTGCTAAATTTAAAATTATTCTAAAAATAATATGAGAGCAGAATGACTAAGAACTGTCAAATTGTTCAATAAGCAATTTGTAAAACTTTTAACTGTTATTTTTTAAAAAGCAATCTAAAACATGCTGTTTTGAAACTGGAACTGCACTTTCAATTTATAATCAGGTGCTTCCGTTTAAAGTTAAAGTGAAACAACTGCATAAATAGTGATCACAACAGCAAAAAACAATGAAATTCCTTGATTTCAGTGCAACAATCATTTTTGTAAGTAAAAACAATAAGGCACGATTTAACACAGGAGCATTGAGCGTCAATGAAAAATATGAAGCAAAGAATGACACTGACAATTTTTTATACCATGTGAGGGGGGAGCTGGGAAATTGGAATATAATACGTTTAAAAAAACCAACCTAAAATGTAGTTGTAAATATTCTGGGTGTAATTTAAAAAAAAAAGTAAAACTTGGATTATTGAACAATTAGGTCACTAAATTCTAAATCTGATATAATTTATCAATTATTGATGGAGGGGTTGGATATTTTTGTTATTGTCGAGACGTGGCATGGTACTTCTGATAACATTTTTGTGAAAATGGCGATGCCACCTGGGTTTTTGTTTGTTGATTTTTTGAGGAAAGATGATCCTCACCATGGTGGATTAATAATTTTTTTCCGTAAAATGTTCAGATATAAAAAACTGGACTTACCAGAGTTTATTTCTTTTTAGGCTATTGCTATCATATAAACAAATAATAAAATGGATGTGGTATTATTTGCATTGTATCGACCTGGATCCGAGGCGGTGTCCTCATTGTTTTTCCAGGAATTGCTATAGACGATTGAATATATAATTTCACAATTATACTTGGTGATTTCAATACTCATATTGAAAAATCAGATGATATACATGCTTGTCGTTTAAATAATTTGTTTGATGAATTTTCGATTAGCAATATTATAGGCGAGCCGACTAATGCTATGGCGGCACGCTTGACTTAATTTTTTCTACAAAGATTTGTGATACTACAATTCATCCTTGCGGTGTGTATTCTGACCACAGTTTAGTGTCTGTCTGCTTACCGACATTTGTCTGTCTGCTTACCGACATTTCGTCCGCTTGCTAGAAAAACCAAAAAATCAGTGTGAATTGTGTTGATAAACAAAAAATAACAACCCTAATTTGTGATTCTTTTATAAGCAAACCGTGCAATTTCAACGATGCAAACAAGGCAGCTCAGCGTTTCAATGATGAACTTGTAAGCATCGCCAATATTGTGGCGCCTGTTCATATAGTTGAAACAAAACTAGTAACGAATGCTCCGTGATGTGACAGTGGTTGTCGTAAAATGAAACGCGAGTGTAGAAGGTTGGAAAATAAATACAGAAAATTTAATAAAAATGGATAGAGCGCAATGGATTGAGTTGATCAAAATAAAAAAACAACGTCTTTTCTGAGAAAAAAACAATCGTTTTGGTGGAGAAGAATAATAATAGGCCAAAAAAATTACGGCGTGTTTTAAATAAAATATTATGCAGAGAGTCAAATGGTACTGATGGTGGTGATAGTACTAATCATACGGCTAATACATTTGTTGAATATTTTACTAATAAAATTAAAGAAATAAAAAATAAAATTGGTAAAATGGATGATCCTATTATAGCGATCAGACCCAATGCTGAAATCAAATTTCATGAATTTTCACAAATGACAGAGAAAGATATAAGGTCAATTAGAATGACGTCCCCGTCTCCATCTTGACTGTATGCCAACAAAGGTTTTCAGACAGTACATTGATTATTTTTTGCCTTACTTGACGGGTATGATGAATTTGTGCTTGTTAACAGGAACTTTTCCGACTGTTTGGAAGCATGCAATCATAATTCCCCTGTTGAAACAACCGTCGTTGGATATGAATGTATTAAAAAATTTTAGACCAGTGACAAATTTGTCGCTTGTATCAAAAATTTTGGAACGAATAATGTCGTCTCAGTTTTTGAAATATTTGGAAGGTAATAATTTTTTACCACCAGGTCAATCAGGATATAGACGACAGAGTTGGCTTTGTTGCGCGTTTTATCAGACCTTTTTGAAGTATCTGATGGTGGAAATGTTTCTTTGTTGACACTGCTTGATATGAGTGCCGCATTTGATTGCGTTAATCGAGCAGTGCTCATACGTAGGTTGAATTTTGGTTATGGTGTATGTGATTTGGTGTTAGCATTTTTTGAGTCATATTTTTATAAACGCACCCATCAAGTATATTATGATAACATTTTGTCAAATGCTGTTGATATGTTGTCTGGTGTCCCACAAGGGTCTGTGTTGGGTCCGCTTCTTTCTATGCTGTATACAGCTAATGTTTTAGATATAATAAAAGAATTTAACTTAAAAAGTTATGCCTATGCTGATGCTGACATTCAGGTGGTTGCTGTCTCGCCTGTTTGTGAGTTGAAAAATCTATGTGACAAGTTACAAAGTTGTTTAAATGCTGTTGATGTGTGGATGGCTCAAAATGGAATAAAAATGAATCAGGATAAAACTCAGGTCACACCAATGGGTACCTGGCAACAAATGTCAATGATTGATGTTAACTCCATCAAAATAGGGGATACTGATGTCGGTTTTGTTAAAACAGCGACGGTGTTGGGACTTACATTTGATGCAAATTTAACTATGAAGATGCATGTTCAAAACTTGGTTAGATCATGTGCATTTCAATTGCGTATGTTGCATCGTGCAAAGGCGTTTTTGATCAAAACAACATTGTGTACGGTCGTCCATTCATTTATACATTCAAGGTTGGACTTGTAATGGTTTACTCAATAGAAATTGCTAAAAGTTTTTTATTTAACCTTAATAAACTTCATCAAGATGATAAAAGTCTCGTTAGAAAAATTGAGAAACTCAACTACAAGTTGAAAACGCAGTGATCTTTATAAATAATTGTATGTATATGTATATGTATATATATATATATATATATGTATATATATATATATATATATATATATATATATGGTAAATATCAAAATAAAGTAAATATCAGAGTAAAAGTGGCCTGATATATAAAATATTGAAACATAAAAATATACATTTATAGAGTGCTTTCAGCGAACAAGCAACTGAATGCAAGCAACTATATTATTACAATAATATCAGCCATAATAATAATAATAATAATAATGATGTTGTCCAGTAAATGTAGAGACAAGCAACCTGAGTCCAGTCATGTTAGAGAGAATGAGGAAGAAAGCCTCCGACCTCAACAGTCGCAAACACGCGCTGATCAGATGAAGCTCTTCATTCTTAGCATCAACATCATCCTCCTCACCTATCTTTCTGTCGCTGTCTATCTTTAAACTGAAAAATTTTCTGAAAAATTGAAAATTTTAAAGTTAAAAAATAAAAATAATTAATATTTCAAAATTTCTAATCGGTGTACATTTACAATTTATTTCTAACTTATTTCACAGCAGACACACAGCAATAAGTTAAAGATGTTTATAGCCTTGATTGATTTAAAAAAGTTTTAGCCTTAATATCACACTACTTTTTAAAAACTTGGCCTTTCATCTTAACATTTACTTTCATTTTTAACTTCCAAGTGACGAACTTCTGCTACATTTACCTAAAAGAACTTAGAATGTATGCCTGTTGATTATGCATAATAAATGATAGCTGCAGGAAGAAAGGCTTATTATACACGCATCACGTGCTACTTTCATTTGAAAAATTTTGAAGCAGTTATGCTTAAATCATTATACTTTTTGTCATTTTATAGTATAAATGATTGTAAGATTGAAATGTAGTACATTGATCTAAAAAATATCAGATAAATAATTTCTAAACCAATGGGTCAAAATGGCAAAAATCAAGCTACCTTTTGTTGACGGGACCTTTCAAATACCATGGCAAGTCTGCTCTTTTGAAGGCCTCACAAATTAATTTATACTTTACAGGCTGCAATGAAAACCAGTTTCATTCAAAATTAGAAATAAAAATTAAATTTTAAAACTGCAATTAAAATGATTAAAATATCCTGAAATATAAAAACTAATTAGCATCAACTGAATCAAAACAATGCATGCAGTAGCAATGATGTGATGGCACAAAAAAAGTTGATTGATGCACTAAACAAAATGACAGTTCAACAACAAATACCACACGAAAAGAATAAATTGAATCAAATTATTATTTTATACACTCATAAAAGAAACTAACAATGAAAAAGTTGGGTAATTGGATTTCTGACGTTTTCTCAAAGTTCAACCTAACTTCAGCCTGGACGACTGCATCCAAATATTGAGGACTAATCCACTCTCTTACAAGATCTTCCTGGCGAATGTTAATTTTTTGGTCATAACATTTAATTCGTTTGTTATATTCCACTTTAAACTGGTATATATAGGTTGTGAAGTCAAATTATTTATCTATAAAGAATGTACAAATTCAAACTGCATAGTTGTAAGCCGAGTGTTGGAGTAGGATGAAAAACATTCAAGAATTAATAATCTACGACATTGTTAAATGCATGAAAAAGTAATTTAAGGTGTTTTATTTACTAAAGGATATTTTTAGTTAAAAATGGATTCAATGCTTGACTGGGCTTTGAGAGATTTCAAATCTGACAAATTATATAGCAAAACTCAAAAAAACTAATTCTCCAATGAGTAGCTTGTTTATTTTGTTATCCTGAGTTGGCAAATGGATAAATAACAAAATCTGCTGTAAAATCGAGAAAAGTTGACAAAAGCCAAATATATTAATTTATGAAAGGGAATGAATATTAGCATCTTCTTGCCATGAAGGTCACAGAAGCTCACAACTCAAACAAAATTGATTGGCTAACAGTGCTCTCTGGTGCTTCAATATTAACGAGATTAAATTCGACAGAATTAAACTGATACTAATTTAAATGACTTAAATTTTTATCGGATGATTTTGTTGGAATTGAATTTAAGTGCCCGAAATACTTAATACAATGATAGTTTAGATAAATATAGAATCGGTGATTGTCATAATGGCTTTAATTAATAATTAATTTTTGTTTTATGCAAAATTAATTTTACAAAAATGGATAGAAAAACCATTTAAAATAACATTTTTTCTCTTATTATGCAGCTATGACAAACGCAGAAACGCTTACATATCATCCCTGGATTTAGCATCAAATAACACTTTATGGTATTTCACATCCATCAAATTATCACTATCATTCATAAGTTTATTTTTAAATCCCTTTTATTACCACCCCAACTTGAAATAGTTACAAAAAATGAAACACTCTAGGTGCAATCAAGAGACTGAAAGTGACCAACCTGAACCTCGCAGTGACTGTACAATGCAGGTGGAGCCTCTATGAACCTGGCTACCCGAGGCAAGGGTTTCGAATGCAACCAACCATGAACTGACAGACGACAGTTCCTCTCCGACAATACTTCTGATACCTTATCAGTTGTTAGGTGTCATCAGTTAATTGTTGTGTTCAAAAATTTCTCAAAAATCAAATTTGCACAAAGAACTGGAAGAAATCAGTCATAAATTATAAAAATTTAAATACAACATTTTTTAAAATTGCATTTATGACATAATTCAACATAAAGCAAACTCTATGTTCAAACGAATACTTTATAACAATGTTTAGATAAATTATTCCAAATTTTTTAAAATCGGTATCATTAGGAGTCGGTATCATTGTCAGTTTCAATAGAAAAGCTTTAACAGCTTCATGGAATAGCATTGGCAACCTCAATAGAAAAAGATTAACAGCTTCATCATAAAGACCAAGACAAGGCAAGTGACGCTATTTGAAAAAAAAAAATTAAGTGCTAACTTGGTGATGGGAGTACTCGGAAACTTCGAACCAGACCAGCTTGTTGTATGCAGGTGTGAGAGAGAGAGACACATCTGTTGGTTCCATGTTACCTGGAGAGGAGGATCATTTTGCATTTCAGTGATGTTTTACGATGATTGTTGGAAGAAGCTACTTTTGATAATTTTTAAATAATATTTATTCTGTTTCTGATTTGAATAAAAATTGACAATAAAATTTAAAAAACCATTTATTTATTTAATTAATTTTATTTTTTGAAACTACAATAGCTAACTAACTAAACAATCAATCCTCGCTTAGCATCCAAAAAACTAGCTAACTAACTAAACAGTTAGTGAATAAAAAACTGTTCAACCAGCTGAATATTGTTGCATTGAAAAATATTCAAAATAACTCTTCATTGAAATAAATAATTGATAGAAAACAAACAGGAACCATCTGAATTGAAGAGTTGCAACTCTCCACCATCCGACTGGCTCCATGAAGGATCGACCAGGTACCAAACAAATGCTATCCTTCGACTGTCCAGTTCGTCATCGTGGCACAACAGCACATCTTAAATGAGTCACAATATCTTCAATGAACAACACTATTGTATGGCCTAAAATTACCACAATAACTTTTAAAACTGGAAAATTATTTTTTTAAGTACCAGAGGAAGAATATTTGGATGACGTTAAATCGACCACACTGAGCAGCTCCATGTTTGTTACCTCAGATATCCATCTTCTGAACTCATTCAGAAAAAATTCTCTAAATAAAAAAGAATTGCTTTAAATTGCATTGAATTTTCAAGTTGGAAATCCATACTTCAACAGTAATAGATTGAACTTCATTTGAAAAACATTTGGGCCTCAACTAAGATAAATGAATTGAAATTTGCTTATTTTGTAAATTCTTATGCATATATGATCAACTACATTTAACCAAAATTTCCTACATTCAATCTTTATGGAAGAAAAATGGTTTAAACACAAATTGGTGGTAACATATTATTCTCACCATAATAACAATTATCCTCATCATAATTTAATCACTATAAGATAATATGGAAACAAAATAATTTAATAATAATAATTTAATTTAAACAAAAGAAGTTACCTATTTTCATAAAAGATGGTTTCAAAATTGGATTATAAAGATGTCATTTTAAATTCTAAAAAATAAAATAACATTAATAATAAAAATAACACTAACAATAACAATAAAAACAACAACGACAATAACAACAATAATAACAACAACAATAATAATAATAATAACAACTTGCTTGTTACATCTGAAAAAATAAAAGCACAAAATAGTTAAAATAAGAAAAAATGGAAATAAAGAACATAAATTGGGTTAATGATGCTCATTACTGACGGAATGAATAATTGAATGAATGAATAAACAAACAAACAAATATATAAACAAACAAACAAATACAATGGCGTTGTAAAGTACAGAAAAACACAGAGATAATTTATTAGGATTGGTTATTGTTCCCGCCTCAAAAGGACAGTCTGATTAGAAAACTAATTAGTTTTTCAATGAATGAAAAAGGCTGTAAGACGTAAGCAACACTAAGCTGTAAAAATTAAGCTAGGTTTGGAGCTTCTGTGCACCTTCATGATACATGGAGCCAACCAAAACCTTTAAATCAGAGGTTGGACTTTATAAGTTACGGCATAATTTACACTCCTCGATTTAATGGATTGAAATAGAGACTCAATAACATGGAACAAGAAGAAAAAAATCGCCCTTAAACATACTTTCCTACTAGTTTGAGTTGATTTTTGACTGACACTGTAATTGCGCAATTAAAAAAATTAAATAAAAATTGATGAAGACAATTTGAAGGATAAAGTTGTACAACCTAATTATAATCAGTGCCAAAACATTTAGTTGAGCACTGATTGCAGCATTATTGAGTGAAAGTTGATGGATCGCAGGGTTCTCCATTTTTATAAATTAAAGTTATTAATCATTTCACCAACATACTGGGCTTTTTCAAAACTTCTAACCTAACTTTTTAAAATTAATTTGTAAATGTATGTACAAAGTGACGGATCTAGACAACGTTGATAGAGGGGCCAAAAATTTGAAAATGTTTAAATTTTCACCGGAAGCGCCAAAATTTTCACGGGATGGGCCATAATTTGTGGTAGTGTGGCTGACGATCTTCTTTTTGCTTATCACGTTCAATTCTTGACCGATTCTACACATAAAACGGTCCTTGTTATGACTTTTATTAAAAAACTGCTTACAACAGGGTGGCCAGTGCCCCTCTTCTAGATCCGCCACTGTATGTATAAAAGGTTGGGCAATCGTTGAAATTTGGCCAGGTGATACTTTCATTTTACATTTGTATAAAAACTCGGTGTAAGTAGGTGGACAGGTGAATCAACCTCATCGGTGAACAAAAAAAATTAGATTGGAAAGTTTAAATAAAATTTCACCATCCATGATTATTGATCATTACTACATATTTTTTGCTGCATCACAGACATGCGAAATTTCATGGCAGAAATAAAAAGATGGATATGTCAAAATGGATATGTCAATATGGATATGTCAATATATAATGTACCTCACAACTTTGGTGCTCTTCTGTTTCAGAATTTTAAAATCATTACTCTGAAACAATAAGTTAAAATAGCATTTTAAAAAATCGAAACATATATAATTATAAAACATTTGAATTTTTGTTTTGAAGTAATGTGTAAGAATAAAACAAACCTGCTTAAATTTATAGAGATCATTACTCTTTTGAAAAAATTCTATATTACTCAAATCTGAAATGAGTTGTTGGATGAATTTTTCTCCCATGACAAAATTATTCATTTCACAACATGGAAACGGTTTTGTGTGAAGTTTTATCACATTACCTAGGAATAATTTAAGTAATTGCAATTTTCAAGAGTTGAAAATTTCAGAAAACATTGTGTTAATAAATCAAATGCATCAGACGCTAATGGATGCTGGTGCCTTTTACTCATATTGAGTAAGTTTAGCAGTAGTCATCTCAGTTGCAGTCATATGAAAATCATAAAAATTAATTGTTTTTGCACACAATCTTTTTATAATAAGATGCATAAGCTCAGCAGTTGTGTGAGGTTGTTGCGAGTTTCTTTAGATATAAGAAACAACAAGTAAGAATGTTTATAACGTATTTATTTGAGCAATACAAAATAAATGAAAACGTGTTCGGCAATGCAATTAGACAAAGAGAAGTTCGATCGTAAAATGTCGCAAGAAGGGCTGTTGTCTTTGTGTTGAAGTTATATATAGTAAGTCGTCACATGCTTAGATTAGGGATGTGCGGTTCAACAATATTCCCCTACCAGATCATCAGCGCAAGCTGTTGATCGATGCTAATCAAGATATCGAGATGGGAGGTGAACTGTTCTTCCCGATCTTGTGGTTCTCCGGGGTGATGGAATGTTGGTGTCGATGGATCGATTTGGGTGTGCTTGTGTCGACGTAGATGTTTCTGTTGTTGACATGTCCTCGTCCGTTGATGGAGATAGCGTTCACGTTTTTGTTGATGCTGATGTGTCGTTCGACGACGGAATTAATTTTGTTGAAGGTGTTGTAGAAGGTGGTGTCGGCGCTGTGGTCGTTGGCATGGGTGACGGTATTGATGGTGCCGGTGAGTATGCGGGTTTGAGGCGGTCTATTGTCACCGTGTCCCTATGCCCCTTTTTGTCAATGACGAAATATTTTGGGTGTCGTTCTACCACTGTGTAGGGTTCCTCGTATGGAGGTTGTAGTGGTGAGCGGTGAGCATCCGTACGAATAAAAACCTGTTCTGTAGTGAAGAGGTCTTTTGCAATGTAACTCACATTTGTACTTGTTCTTGGTTGTGTTGGTTTTAGGGTCTCCGCCCAGCATTTGAGTTTTAATGCATAGGTGTGTACATCGGTTGTCTCTGGCCGTGGGTTTGGAAAATCTACGGGAAGGCGGAGTGTTGTGCCGTAAACAAGTTCTGCTAGTGACAACTTTAGGTCTTCCTTCTCCGTTACACGAACGCCTAATAGTGTCACTGGTAATACATCCGTCCATTTGTCTGAACCGTGAGCCATAAGTGAGGCCTTAAGCTGTCTATGCAATCGTTTCACCATACCGTTGGCTGCTGGGTGGTAGGCGGTGGTGTGAATATGTTTAATGTTTAGTAATTGGGTGAATCTCTTGAAAGAAAAAGATGTGAACTGGCTGCCTCTGTCTGTTGTAATGGTTTCTGGGACTCCATACAACGAAATCCAGTTTGAAAATAATTTATCTACTATTGTTTCCGTTAGAGTATTTTTGATGGGAATTGCTACTGGCCATCTGGTGAAACGATCGACACACGTTAAGATGTGTGTGTGTCCATCTGATGAAGACATTGGTCCGACTAAATCGATGTGTACATGCTGAAACCTGCTGCTTGGTGGAGGGAATTCTGCTGGACGTGAAGCTGTATGTCGATGTACTTTGCTGTGTTGACATTGCAGACACTCTCTGCACCAATTACGGATGTCTTTATCAATGTGGGGCCAAACATACCTGGCTCTAATTATTTTCGATGTTGCTTTCGCTCCTGGATGTGACAGGGAATGGAAATTCAGAAAAACTGATTTCCGCATGCTTGTTGGAACTAGAGGACGAGGGGTGCCTAACGAGGTGTCGACGACGATATTGTTTTCTGAGTTGTTGACTGGAATTATGGTGATTTTTAGTGAGTCTGTGTTGTCAAGGAGTGTTGCATCATCCTCCTGTTCTTTCGACATATCCTCCAGGTTAATTGCTTTTGGCGTTATCGTGGCTACCTCTGTACGTGATAGCGCATCAGCTACAACGTTGTTTTCTCCATTCACGGCGGACAGCTGAATACACTGCCAGCAGTTCTCGACCAAATGTATTGTAGCGGGTCTGCGCTGGGTTAAATTTTTGCGAAAAAAAGGCTATAGGTCTTGCAATCCCCTGACTTTTCTGTTCTAGTACTGCTCCCGCAGCAACGTCTGAAGCGTCTGTGAAAAGTTGAAAGGTGCCTTTCTCTTGAACATACCATAACTTGGTTGCCGCTAGTAATGCCTGTTTGGCCTCTCTAAAACTTTGTTGCTGCCCTTCGTTAAATTTTATGGTTTTCGATTTGCCAGTTAAAATGTCAGTGAGAGGTGACAATATCGTTGAGCATTTAGGGATGAATCGGCGGTAAAAATTGATCATTCCGATGAATCGGCGTAGTTGCTTGTCAGTCGTTGGTTCAGCAAAATTGATGATTGCCTGTACTTTGTTGTCGAGGGGTCTAATGCCTTCACTGTCGAGTTGGTGCTCCAGGAATGTTGTGGATGATTTGGCCCATTCGCATTTGGATGGGTTGATGGTTAGTCCGTTGTCTTGCAGTCGTTGAAGGATTTGTTCTACATGGCTTCTGTGTTCTTCGAGGGTTTTGCTGGCTATTAGTATGTCATCAATGTATGCGTGGACAAAAGGTAGCCCTCTCAAAACACTATCGATGAACCTTTGAAAAGTCTGTGCGGCATTTCTCAGCCCGAACGGCATCTTCAAAAATTCAAACAGACCGAACGGTGTTGTTACCGCAGTTTTTTGGATATCTTCTTCTGCTACCGGTATCTGGTGGTAAGCCCGTACGAGATCTAGCCTCGTAAACCATCGCACCTGTTCCAGGCTGTGAGCGATATCATGGATGTGTGGAACTGGATATCGATCAGGTGCGGTCCTGTTGTTGAGTGCGCGGTAATCTCCACAAGGCCTCCAATCTCCTGATGACTTTGCAACCATATGAAGTGGTGATGCCCAAGGACTGTTTGATGGTCTTATGATTCCGAGTTTAACGAGAACAATTTTAAAATTTTTTGTTTATATTAACATTTAAAATGCCAAAAAGAATTTGAAAATAATAAAGAACTTTAAAATAAATATAAATTTATGAAGATAATTAACCAAATTAATTTATCGGAAGTTTTTTAAAATAAATTGCTTTTTAAAAAATTGTTTTTTTTGTCCTCTTTTTCTATCGAAAATCTACTTTTTTTTAGTCCATTGTCCTCTTTTTCTAATTTACGATTATGGACACCCTAAATCTTATGTTTTACAACATGCTGAAAAAATTATGATTTTGTTCACATTATTAGCATTTATTTTCAGTATTAAAGATGGTTGCTTACCACTATATATATTTATCTTGTCAATGATTTTACCAAAGTTGTTGTCCGAAGCAAGCATGGTTTGACGCCAGAGATTATATTGGAGCGTTCAACAACCCCCTGTATCTGTAACGTCGTGATGTTGTCAACAATTTTGTGTCTCCTCATGTCGACTGCAATATCGAAGTGTGACAAGAAGTCGGCACCCAATATTGCCTGTGTGACGTTTGCAATGATGAAAACCCATTTGAATTTACGTCGTAAACCGAGGTCGATGGTTACGAGCTGTTGTCCAAATGTGTCGATGGTGGTGCCATTTGCAGCTTGCAGTTTGTAGACAGATTTGGGTCTTCGGAGGTGTTATCGTGAAGGTATGATACTTACTTGGGCTCCGGTGTCGACCAAAAACCTTGTCTTCGAAATGTTATCGGTGACGTAGAAAAGGCGACACGATTTGTTGAATGTTGATGTGGTGTCTTGTTGTTTTTGCGGCTGTTTGTTGTTGTTTGTCACTACTTTTGTTTGTTGATGCTTGTTGATGTTTGATGTTTGTACAAGATGTAGGCGACTAAAATTGTTGTGGCCAGAGGTTACCGCCGCCATTAGCAACTGGCCTGGTAGTTTGACGACTTGGCGACTTTTGCTTTGAAGTTGCATGGTCTCGCACACTTTTTTGCTCTGTCCCCATACATTTTATGGTACCAGCAAACATCTGTCTCCTCACCATCTTCTGCTCTAGATGGGAATTTTGTTTTCGTTTGTTGTTGTTGGTGTCCTGGTTATGACATTAAACTGACCCTCACTGCCTTGTGAGTGATGTTGGATCATCAAAGGCTAGGCCCACCGCTTATAACTGTGGTTGCGTAAGGAAGGGCGTCCTGTGTAAAAACTAGCCAAATAATAAATGCTTATGATGATGACGGAAAAAACAATGGCCCTCAGTATCCGGCAGAAGAGGGTGCGAAGAATCTCCGGAGACCCAGTCGATGGGGTTGTGGTGCAAGGCCCTGTGGATGGTCTGGCTACTGGCACCCCACTCTATAGTGTGGCGGTGCAAGGCACTATAGATGGAAGGACTACTTGTAGACCAAGGGGTTGGAGGTTTGGTACCTGGAATGTAGGCACGTTGACAGGAAGAAGTTTGGAAGTGGTGGAGGAGCTGCAGAGGAGAATGGTTGACGTGGCTGCATTACAGGAGGTCAGATGGAAGGGTGAGGGTACAAGGTTTGTGGGGGCTAAAGGTGGAAGATATAAGTTGTGGTGGAAGGGGGATGATGGTACGGGAGGAGTTGGTGTGATGGTAAGAGAAGAGTTGGTGGAGAAGGTGTTGGAAGTGAGACGGAGAAGCAATGGGGTAATTGTGGTGGTGATGGTGTTTGGAAAAGTAATAGTGAGGGTGATATCAGGATATGCTCCGCAACAAAGTAGGAAGGAAGAGGAGAAGGATAGGTTTTATGATGATGTTTCTGACGAGATTGGGCAAGCGGGGTTGAATGAGTTTGTGGTGTTGTTGGGTGATTCGAATGGTCATGTGGGGGCGGATGCAGACGGATATGAAGGTGTACATGGGGGATGGGGATATGGTATACGGAATGAGGAAGGGCGTAGAGTGTTGGAGTTAGCGGATGTACACAGCATGGTGGTGGGGAACACTTGGTTCACAAGGGAACCAGCGCGATTGATTACTTATAGGTCAGGGGAACATAGATCGATGATCGACTATATATTGGTAAGGGCCAAACA